CCGTATCCTCTTGGCACCATTGGAATCAACAGGTCCTCAACCTATGGTTACAGGGAACCTTCATTGATTTCCAACCTGAAGAAGTCCACATCTACTCGTCCTTACTGTGGGGAGTCCTATCAACCCTTTCCTCCCAATCCTCAAGCCCTCACTCCCTTCTCCGACCCCGTTCAGCAGGAAGCAGTCAGAGAGAAAGCAACATCCACAACCCCATAGAGGAGAAAGGAGGGAAGGAAGGGCCCCCACCAGTAAGATGGCGAACTTCCGGCTTCTCTTCGGGGTCCTCGGTTCCCACCGGCGCCACCTGAAGCCCAATCACCTCTCGCCCCCCTCCCAATCCCAGCACCTAGCCAATAGCCACCAGCCCCGTAGAAGTAACACCACAATCACCCCATGCCCCTTCCTATATAACCCACACCTTTCCCTAATAAAGCGGAATTCTCTGGTGAATTGCTGCTGTGTGTCGCTCCTTCCTTTCAATAGTGGTTATTATGATCCTGTCATAGCCCAGTCTCTCTCCAGGCTTTATCACTGTGCCAGAAATAACTCATTTTGTCCCCTTCTTTGTTCATTTTTTATCAAAAGACACTGAAGACAGGGTTCTTAGTGAAAATGGTGGAGGAAAGAACTCCAAAATTCCACCCTTCCATGAAAGCAATGAAAGAAATGGAAAAAAATGTCAGAATCAACTTTCATGCCACTCTGGAGAAGAACCCAGGGTTTGTGGTAACTCGGGGAGCACTTAGATGGGAAAAGTGGCTTGGTCTCAATAAGAACCTGGACTTGGTGGCCCATTAACTTACCTAGTCCTGTTCCCAAATCCTCCACCCAGTGGTAGCCATGAAAATAACCCACATTCTTGATACCAAAAGAAACACAACAGACCTCATTTATAATGAATTATTTGACCTGTCTGGTGGCTTCCTGAAAGACTGGCTCAAAACACTTGTCCTTACTTTACTGTACTAAGAACTCACCTGGTGCTGAAGCTGCTACCTGATGGGTATTTGTTGAAAACACTTATAGGTAAATGTTTTAGTCACTGCTCTGTAAGGTAATAAATATCTGTTGGGGCAAACAATACCCTAATCAAAAAGCTTTGGAGGAAGAGCTGGGGAATGAAATATTCATAAGGACTTTGAAAATCTCAGGCATATTCATGGGTCTCTACATGGCTGCATACAGGGCTGTGTACGTGATTGGGAAAGTCCTGAAAAAACCCTGAGCTCTCACTCTTAGCTGACCTTGGCTGACTTGAAGTTCTCCATAAGCAGGAAGTGAGAACTAAGGCAGAGTTGTAAGCCACCTGGCTGAGTGTCAAAGGTTTCCCTCACCGGGCACACAGAGCCCCTTGGCAAAGAATGAGAGATATTTTATTTCAAGGTGTTCAAGTATATCTCTTTCCAGTCATTAGGGTACCACCAAGGTAATAGAACAGAGACTTCTGTGGCCAAACAATACAAGGAATATAGACTCACTAAACAAACAAACAATAAAAACTGCAACAAGCAACAATAAAAACAAACAGCCCTAAGGATGGTGGAGAAAAGTGCAAAAAAATATATTATTACAATACTAGCTGTGGAAAAAATATTTAAGAATAAAGCATTTTTTTAAGACCCTACAGAGTACCAAAGCTTTTCTAAGGATCATCATTCCCATCAGGCCTACTTTGCACCCCCTAATTTCATACCTCATATTCATTTTCTCCCACACTATATGCAGAATCTCACTTTTGGATGAAAAAATCTTGTCTCAAGAGAACATAAAGGAGACCTTTTCTTCAGTCCTTCTTACACCAAAGAACAAACAACTATGTTTTTTCATCTATGTTGTATTCAAAAGATGGGTTTCAATAATTAGAACAGTCCAGAAGGGCAATCTGTCAAGCTAGCCCTCATTTACCAATGAATTAGAAATATTTATAGAGCACTTTCATATGCACAGCACTACTACAGATGAGTGGGAGGAAGGCCCTACAAACAGGAGCATTGACCAGGTCCTGCGGGTGTCTATGGATTTGCTCTAACTGTGCAAGGTCTCAAGAGCTGGTGTGAATGGCATGTTGGGACTGTCATTGGTGGGTGTGACAATGGTCTGAGAAGGCCTCATTGTTGATGGGTGTGGGAGGTTCATGGATTGATGGAATAGCGACCCAACTGCTGGATTTGCTGAGAACAAATTATTTTTCAATGCCTAAACTAACTCCTAACTTAATCATGCTTGGAAGGTTTTAAAAACATACAGTCAATTGTCAGATGACATCTTAAAGTTTGACTTCTTCCTTGAGGTCAAGGTTTGATAATCTAGATGACAAGAGGCTTACTGATAATCACCTATAGGTGAAGACTAATCACAGAACACAGGCCTTCCAGACATCCACTCACCAACAGTGCAGTTATACACTACAAACAGAGAACATATATACCCAGATACCCTTCCACTTCCCACAAAGCCAGTGCACCTGCGCGGGAGGTTTCTATGGGGGTATGAAGACATCTAGGGACATATTTTACTAAATAACTATCCCCTGACAGAGGCCCTGAAAGATCCATTTACTCTTTTAATCAATTAGGCATTTAGTTCCCTGGAGCTTTTCTACAAAGCACTCAGGAGAAGCAGCATTATTCATGCAGTGAAGAAGTAGCCCGTAAAACCCATGGCTTGGCAGAACCCTGAACTGACCACAATACCCTTTCCAAACAAGCCCAGATGTGACCTCAGACTTCCCAGTTAGGTCCAAGCAGCCACTACCACTAAATTGGGATGGGAATTGTAAAAAGAAATCCATTTGCTGTCCTGGAATAAACTCTAGCCCATAGCTCCTTCTTTAAGCCTTTTGTTATTTTTAAACCATTGGCACTTGGATAATTTTAAGCTTTTTGAACACAAGCTTAAATGGGTAAAGGCCATTTCCAAGAATTTTAAGTGTCCTGGAGAGGGTATTATTTGGGATGGTTCTGTCAATATTCACAAATTTGGCAGATAATAGATTATCGTTTGAGTCGTAAGTGTAATCTTTCAATGACTTGTCAAAATCCACATCTCATATTGTTATTCTTAAGAGAAACAAGGGAGGGCATGAACAGGAAGGAATGAATAACAGGTGGAAGAGGAGGAAAACAGAATAGGTGAGAAGCAGAGGGTTCAAAGGTCTGCAGAGAACAGAGCGACTGATGCCAAAAATCAAAGTCTAGGCTATGACAAGAAAAGGGGCGAGCACTGCATTCATCTGACAGGCTTTTCTGGCACCTACTTTGGATGCTTGAAGGCCATGAGGCATCGCTCATATGTCCCCACCATGCTCCAGGCCATGACCAGTCCATCAGCACTGCCAGAGAGGAGATGCCACTGGTCAAAGTACAGACACTTCACAGATCCCTTGTGGCCACTGAGAGTCTGCAAGAAAAGATGCCCATTTTCAGCCCATCTTCATCTCAGCTTGTGACTCCTGCAAGAGCCGAAATTGGAGGCTGTTCTCCACGAATCCCAAAGCCTCAGTCCAGCAGCCTGTGATTACCGCTTACTTGGCATTTGTCTGAGTTGCTTCACCTTTGGCTCTAGGAAGGTCCACAGAGCCCATGCCGCCCTCTCTTCAGAGCACTCTCCCCAGTGAAGTGTGATCAGGGAGAGGCCTGCTCCTGGTGGGTCTGTGGCTGGGGCAGGCCCCATCTTCCTGGAGTACCAGAGAGGCCCAGAGCCTACCCAGAGCACCCCTGGGGTACCCCTGTGCCTTCCGCTGCTAGGTAGACCACAGTGACAAGATTGGTGGGGAGAAGCCCACCAGCCAGACCGCAGCTCGTCACTGTGATCCTGTATTCCTGGCAACGATACCTCACTACCACTCACCAGGGCCTGGGACGTCACATCCAGAAAGAGCATTTTTTCAATATGAATATTCAATCCTTGCAAAACAGCCAAAGCTCTCTTTTCTTCAGAGAGTAAGGAGAAGAAACACTGTGACTGTTCCCTCACCTCATGCCAAAATGGGGGTAGAATACTCTGGAAGAGGAAAAGGTACTGTACCTCCACGGCTTTCAGTAGATGCTAAGCCCATGTACTGTCCTGAGTCAGAATGCAGCTTTCTGCCACCACGCCCATGACAACGTGGGTCACCAGGGCCCTGACCACCCCCCGCCCCCCAACTCAGAGTGGCCCCTTGGGCAGGGGGTCCTTCCCCATCTGCCCCTCAGGACCTCCCTTTGGTGACTGAATTTGATTGCTCTAGGGTGGTCTGAGGAGCCATGTGGGGGAGACCATCAGTCTCCTGCAGTCCATCCCCCCATGCCCCGCTCTCCCCACAGCCCACCACCCTCTCACCTTTACCAGCTGGGCTGTGACAATGTGCCACACTTTGACTATCCCCCGCTCACAGCTGCTCACGATGTGGGTGTCATTGATCCTGGTGGCCAAGATGGGGTCTTTGTGTTTAAACGTCTTCAGGCACTTTCCTGTCTGTATGTCCCACTCTGAAAAGCAGAGGCAGAGAGGGGGAGGGGAAGTGGGGAGAGAGGGAGAAGAAGGCGGGTTAGAGTGGAGTTCCACACCCCATCGCAGAAGCTAAGACTAGCTGAGCTGAGCCATCAAGTCAGACCCTGCAGCCTGGCCCAGACCTCCACAGGCTCACCCCCAAGCTCCGGCACCTGCAGCACAGAGCTCCCTGACCATAGGCCCCGGGAAAGCCTGCAAGGTGCAGACCTTGGGCTCTGACCCTGGAACAGCCTTGGGGGCCAAGTGCTGGACTGAGCATCTCCTGTAAGCCTCCTCCTCACACTGAAAACTGCTAGCTATTGAGTAGACCTCAGGAAGATCATGGCGTGTTTCATGGCATCATTCTTCCAGGGTACTATTCTCCTGATCCACTGCTTCTATCCCCAAAGGAAAATAAAGCTATCCATCCTCATTATGTTTAAATGTACCTGAGCCTAACTTTTGGATTTTACTAATTGCGAGACTGTCACAGCTGGGGGCAGCTTTAATGCTGCTCCTACATAGACGGCGCACCAGCAGCTGCCCAGCACACTCCAAGGGTTGGCGGACAGGTGAGTAGAAGGGAAGGTGGGAGAACAGAGCTGAAAAGAAGAAGCTGAAAGTGGGCACCATGTATTCTGGGGTGAAAACATTAAATTTAGCTTCAGCAGCTCCCAGAGCACATCAGTGAGCAGAACGTATAAAATCTAAGACAAAATAAAACCACAGGTGACACTACAGGACACCAACAAGCCGGGCACCATTCGAAGTGCTTGACGTGTGTCTGCCATCTTCAGAAGGCAGGTACTGTTATTATTCCCCATGGCACAGATGGGCAACCTGGGAGGTTCAGGAAACTACTCAAGGTCACACAGGTAGTGAACAGACTGACCTGTGACTCAGACCCAGCCAGTCTGGACCCAGAGGCCACGCTCTTTGCCACATACACAAGGTGAACCCTAACTATGTAAGTGTGCTTTGCTTCACTTAGTTTTTATATCTACATTGGCCCTTTTATCAAAGTATCAAAAGAAGTCATCAAATTTTATCAAATGGGAAAATTGAAAGATGAATTAAAAGGTTCATTGGTGAGATGCCCTGGTTTAAAGAATTGAAAAGTAGAGGGTTGCCTTTCAGGTCTCTAACTGACTCTTTTTTATTGGATCTTTGCAGGTGGGAAGAGCCCAGGGGAAGCAGGCAGGCCCATGGCAAGGGCCAGGATTAGGGTGAGGAGGGAGAACTTTGGATAGTTTTTTCAGCATGTATTTTGTACATTAATTTTGATTTTTTAAATACTGCATTAAAACAAGTGTCTCGATTACCGAGGCTCCTTTGGTGCCCCCTTAAGTTGCACGCCTGGGATGAGGACCTAACTCCCTTTGCCCCAGTTCTGGCCCTGCCACTGGCCCCACAGGCTCAGAGGCCTTGTCTGCCCTCCCATCTTCAAGTCCCCACCTTTCAGCCTGTTCTCTTCTCCTCAGAGCAATCATGGCAATGAGACTAGGAGGGCAAAGCAGGCGTGGGTTGGGTACCTTAGGCAGGTCTGAGTGTTGCATACATAACACCATCCAGTCTCCATTTCCTATGTGTTTCTCCTCCACCCGTGCCTAACATGCTGTGGTTTCCTGGCCCTTTGCTTCTCTGTTCACTCTTTCCTCCTGCTCTGCTGGGGAAATTTCATCCATACCTGGGGCCTCCACCTTTCATTGCAACTTACAACCACCCAATTGACATTATCTGGAGCCCCAAACCAGTAAAGCCCTCTGCCATCCTCACCTGATGCCTCAGGAATCCCACACTCTTTGTATTAGCTTCCTATTGCTACTGTAACAAATTTCCACAAGCTTAGTGGCTGAAAATACAGTTTACTCTCTTACAGAAGTCAAACGTGACTGCACTAACGTCTAAGATCAAGGTGTCAGGAGGGCTGTTTCCTTTATGCAGACTTTTCCTTCCTTTGCTACCTCCTGAAATCACCCACATGCCTTGGCTCATGGGCCCCTCCCTCCATCTTCAAATCCAGCAATGGTGCATCTAACCATTCGAACTTAATCACATTGCAAAGTCCCCTCTGCCCTGCAAGGTAATGTAGTCACAGATTCCAGGGATTAGGATGTGAACATCTTTGGTTGGCCATTATTCTGCTACCACTCAACCTGTCCAAAATTGAAATCAGCACCTCCTCCTTCTTCCTCCCGTCTCCTCCTCCTCCCCTACAGTCCCTGCTTCCATTAATGGCACCTCCATATACCCAGTGGCCTGAGTTCAAAAGTCTGGCCTCTTCATCTATCCTTCGGTCTTCCTCACTTTCCTTATCCAACTGGAGGTGACATTCTGCCAACTCTCCCTCTAGAAATCTCCCTCTGGTCTGTGCCATCTCACACAAACTCACATGCACCTGACTTTCTTCACACTCGACAGTTCACAGATATTCTGAAGATGCCACAGTCATTCTCTAAACTGAGTGGTGTCTTGACTTGTCCTTCCCACCTAGTCACCCCTCTCCACATCTTTCTTCCATACTATCCTAGAGTTCCCTTCCTCAAACACACATTTGGTCATGTCGATTCTCAGCTTAAGAGGCAGTTGTGGCCTCCCATGTCCTATAGAATCAAGCTCAATTTCCTACCCTGATGTAGAAGGCCCCTGACAACCTGGCCCCAAACAGACTTACCAGCCTTAGTGCCAATTCTACACAAGGCAGCTCAGCCGTACCAAGCAAGGGGAAATTCTCTGAATACTCTGTTTTCCCCAACCTTCTGTGGATTTGCCTGTTCTGTTCCTTCTGCCTGGAAGGTCCCACACTCTATCTCTGCCTCCAGAATTACTCATCCTCAAGACCACACACAAATAACACCCTGTCTGTGGTGTTTTCCTTTGTACCCCTATTTCCATGGTCCCTTAGAACTCCACATGTTGATCAGGAGCACATGATTTAGAGTCAGATACCCTGAGTTCAAATCCACTCTCTACCACTTGGCAGCTTTGATTTGGGGCAAGCTGTTATTCTCTCTGAGTTTTGGATTCCTCATCTGCATCCACCCCACAGAGCTCTTGTGAGTGATGAATAAGATAATATATAGGTAAAGCACCTATCACGATCACAAAGTTAGTATTCGATAAATGGCAGCTGTTACTATTCACATATTTATTATATCCTCATTATATATTTATATATCTATCTTCATTAGGAGACCATGAGCCTCTGGAGGAAATAAAAAGCCATATCAAAAGGCCAATCACATTCATTTTTTTCCTTAGCACCTAGCATAATGTCTAGCATATTGTAGGTATTCAACAAACAGTTGTTGAATGAATGGATCAATAGATACAAGGATGTGTGGATGGATGGATGAATCGAAAACTAAATGACTGCCTATACAAATGAGCAAAACAAGTATTCTGGCAACCCGTGGATTTGGGAAAACTTTGTAAAAAGTTTAAGGCATTTCTTTCTCACTTTTCACCTGGCAATCTCTTGCTCCAGATACCAGCCTGTTCTTACATAAATCCATGCAAGTGATTGTCCCCTGGTGGCCACTGAAGATTCGTATGCAAGCCCCACTTTCCAGATCCCAGTATCTGCAGAAATCAGGCCAAAAAAAATGTTTTTGAGGTTTTCTGAGGGCCCAAGGGAGCATACTGTATAGACTTCCTTTGGATCAATGGGTAGTTGGAAGACGGCAAAGTTGCATGGTCAAGCTCAGAATTAGAGGCCTGGATTTGAATCCCAGTTACACCTATTAGGTGTAACTTTGGGAAAGTTACTCAATTTCTGTGTAAGTTTCATTTCCTCACTGATAAAATAGAAATGATAATAATAGTGGTTACCTCATAGAGTTTTTGTGAAAAATTAAATACACAAATGCACCAGTTGTCAGCTAGGGGTGATTTGCATCTGTAGGGGACATTTGACAATATCTGGAGACATTTTTGGTTGTCACAAGTGTGGAGAGAGGTGCTGTTAGTACCTAATGTGGAGAGTCCAGAGATGTTGCTGAGCATACTAGAATGCACAGGACAGCCTCCACATGAAGAATTTTCCAGCCCCAAATGTCAATAGTGCTGAAATTGAGACACCCTGCATTAATGCATGTAACGTCAGAACAGTGACCAACATGCAGAATATGCTTGATAAATGTTAGTTGGTATCAGATGGAAGAGTTCCTGGATAAGTTACTGAACCATTCTGTACCTCAGTTTCTTCATCTGTAAATTGGAGATAATAATGGTACTTACTTCATAGAGTTAGTATGATACATGACACATAATAATTGATTAATAAATGTTCCTTTTGTTTTCCTTGGGATGTTTTAAGCTTTCTCTTCTAACATTTCCAAAGGTCCTATGGCCTTTCCTGTTTGTCAGACCCTATTATGCACCTACAGTGCATTTAATGATGCCCCAGTGGTCTGAAAAAAGCATGACTTTAATTTCTGTTTCTAGCAAAATGGCCAACCATGTGTCCAGATTTTTTTTCTTATTTATGCAGAAAAAGTATTTGATAAACACTTTTAGGAAAATAGGAATAGAGGGAACTTCCGTGATTTAGGAAATCTATAAAACAGTCATAACAGCAAGTCTTACGCTTAATGGAGAATGCACTCTCTTCAAAAAGGCAACAAGAAAAAGATGCCTGCTTTCACTGCTACTGCTTAACTGGGAGGTCTAAGCGAAGTTAGATTGAAGAAAAAGAAAAAGGTAGTATAAGTATTAGAAAAGAAGATGATACATTATCATTATTTCCAGTTGATAATATCATCTACATAGAAGAATCAAATCAACACTCATACTTTTAGAACTAATAAAAGGTTACCAAGGTTGCTGGATATAAGATCAGCCTATAAAAATCAACACCATTTCTCTATACCAGTAATAACCAACTTGAACATATAAACATTTTTCATTTCATTGTGATACCATTCACAACATCAGTAAAATGTTTATAGATATGAAAGAAGAATACACCAGACTTTTATAAAGAAAAGTGTAAAGTGCTAAGAAATAACAGAATAAATGTGTTGCCCAGATTAGTCTATCAACTCAGTACAACTCAATCAAAAGTCAAGTTAGATTTTTTTAAGTGTATAATCTTACTCTAAAAACTGAAAAAAAAAACTGTCACTAAGTTACAAAGAAAAGGAAAGTGAAGAGTAGAACTTGCCCTACCATCATATATTAAAACATTCTGCAAATACATAGCTAAAAACAAAACAAATTCAAAAAATTTTAAGGAGGGTAGTCCCAATCAAAATCCAGCAGGTTATTTGTGAATATCAGCAAAATTTATATGGAAAAGCATAAGACCCAAATCTCCAATACAATATTGAAGGAAGGGAACAAGGTTGGGGGACTGACACTACCCCATTTCAAGGCTTGCTATAAAGCTACAGTAATTAAGGCAGGGTTGTATAGGTTAAAGAATAGACAAGTAGATCAATGGAACAGAATAGAAAGCCCAGAAATAGAACCCTACAAATCCAGTCAATTGATGGCAAAAGCAATACAATGGAGCAAAGACAGCCTTTTCAACAAATGGTGCTGGAACAACTGGACATCCACATGCATAAAAGTGAATTTAGACACAGACTTTATACCCGTCAGAAAAATTAACTCAAAAACTCATGTACATATGTACCAGACACACATCCAAGAATATCTGTGGCAGTACTCTTTGAAAGAATGAAAAACAATAAACAATAAAAATATCTATCAACAGAAGAATGAATGATTTATAATATATTCATCCAATAAAAACTAGACCTCAGTGAAAATAAATTAATTTCTGCTACCTGCATCATATGGACGGACCTCAAAATGATAGTTCAGTATAAGAATCAAGTACAGAGATGATTTTTTAATATAATTCCATTTCTGTTAAGTTCAAAAATGGGCAACAGTAATCAATATATTTGGAGTTATACAAATAGGTAGCAATCAATATATTTGGAGATATATAAAGAAATATAAGGGAATAATTAGTATGAAATTTAGGATACCATTACCTCTGCCTGGGAGGAAGAAAGAAGCAATGAGAGGCATGTGGTGGGATTTGGGGGTGGTGATGTCCTGTTCTTGGCCTGACTAATCAGTACATGGGTACTTATCATATTGCTTAAAAATATGTGTATATATACATGTTTAAACACTATTTTGCTTCTAGCCCATTTTCCATGCCCACAAAAATCGACTTTTCCCTGCAGGAATCTATAAAAAGAAATATAAATTATGCTTTCATCTAAGAATCCTTAAAAAGATACTTTCTGATTCATAGTCTTCAACAAGCAAATAGACCTGATATTTGTTGTAAATCTATCTCATTCAAAATTTAAACAACATGCAGATTCATAGTTTTTAACCTTGCCAAAAAAATTTGAAAATGTGGGCTATTCTAGAAGTCAGTATTGTGTAGGATAACTTGGCAATAAATACGAAAAGGCATGCATGTTTCTTCCCCAAGCTGATTTTGGGCTCTGGGTGGGGCGGGGACCACAGCCGCCTTGGACTGCTCACCTGATACTCAGGTCATAACTCCCACTCAGTAGAAAGTTTTCCTTCTCACACAAGAAGAGGGCACGGACACTCCCAGCATGGCCTCGGAACTCTATGGGTATCTCCTTTACTTGTACGATGTCCAGAAGCCAGATCTTCCGATTGGATGACACAGCTAACAAATCTCCCCCAGAACAGTGGATGACTCTCTTTCGGTCCCACCTGAGTAGCGGGGGTAAAGGATGATCCATGAAAGAAGAGTTAGTGTCCTTGCTGGCACTCACTGGGTACAGTGGCTTTCACCTGCTGCAATGGTTTAGGAAAATTCAGGGCCGTCCAGCAAGGGATGCAGCAAAAGGCAAGGCCTAGTATTAATGGGCCCTGGTGGATCCCTACCTCATACTATAACAAAATTCCATTTCAGGTAGATTTCAAACCTACAGGCAAAAGGCAAAACTATTAAAAAATTCTGCTAATGTATGATAAATTCCCAAGAGAATAGAGTATGCATCATCTCCCAAATTTAATCAAACATGGAAATCTTTTTTTATTGGCAAACCTCAGTGGAACCGGTTGAGAAGCCCTATACCCACTGTATATCCCACTGTTACATTTTTTTCCTTAGCCAATATCCAGGGAGCATATATCAGGTTCAAAGTCCTGTGCTAATAGGTACCATGGGAAATATAAAGATGAATAAGAGGACCTTGCCCTCAAAGAGCTCGTAGTCCAATAAAACAGGATGAGTTGAATTAATTTTCCAATCATAAAATTATCAGCACATAAATAAAATATGAGCAGGATGACCAAATTTTATTGTCCAAAATGAAACTTTTTTTTACTTTGAAAGAGGACACTATTATTAATTACTTTGGGACTGCATCATAAATTGGGATTGTTTCAGTCAACAGAGATGTATAGTCACTCTAAATATGAGGAGAAATTCTTGATTTTTTAATTAAATATTTGATATGTCATATCTAGAGTTTGACCAGTCATCATCTCTTCTAAAGAGCACTTGTCACCAAGCTTTTTTTAAAAGTACTAACTTCTCCCTTTTCCCTGACTGCTGTCTTCCCCCTAGTGACTGATCAAAATGCAATTTGTCAGTAAGATTCATGGCCAAAACTAAAATAGAGGTGATTTTTACAAACTCTTATGAATGAAAAGTGAAGTCCTAGGCCTGAAGTCTGCCAGGAAGTTGATCATTAAAGGGTCTTCTTATGGCATATCCCAGTGATGCCACACTATGCAGTTATCATTAACACCATTTTCATGCTTAACATGGAGAGATATCCACAGCACTTAGCTGGACTGGATGGCAGAAATACGCAAAGAAAAACACTCTAGGACAGACATCAGTACAAACGGTGCTTATCTCTAGGTGACAAGATTACAGAAGACTTTCACATTTCTCTATACATTTTCTGGCATTTGGTGGATTTTTTTCCCCCAACAAGCATATATTACTTCCAAATTAGAATGAAACATTCGGGATACTTCAAGAAAAGAAAGATTACATGTATGTGAATTGTACAAAACATCATTGGTCAGCATACCCAAAATTTATAAGGGGAAAGTGTTCTCCACCAACTGCTGAATGGTGCAAAAATGAAGCACCTGCTCTCCAAATGGGACCTCATGTTAGTTTGGGGCTGGAGGGTGAGGTGAGGAATGACTGCCTTCCCAAACGAATGGAAGTCATGGGAATCCTGAGATGCCAGTGTGGGTAGTTCAAGGGTCCCTGAAGACCTGGATTCTGACCCCAGTACCTACGTGTCAGAGAGAACGTGGATATTGTAAGTCCCACAGAAGACATTTCTCTCCTCCATCTGGACCTGCTGAGTTTCCTGGCCCTGGCATGCAGTCTACAGGTTGTAGTCATTCTAACAAGGGAACACTTGGAGTCAAAGTATGGCAGCAAATTTACTCTGGACCCCAGGTGCACATCCTCAGGGTATCCCCAGGCCAGGGCACAGGGGCCCACAGACGCTTTCTCTGTGGCTGTGCCATGTGGGGATGGGGAGGGGCCAGCAAGCAGGCACTAAAGTGATCTGGGAGTTAGAAAGTATTGAGTCAAGGGTCTTAATTCTTCTTCCACCTCTGCATTTTCAGTGTTCTGATTTTATGAAATTTTGATGTCACTGGTAGCTCAACCTTTCCAAAACTGAGCTCGGAAAGGATATGCTCACAAGACAGTCACAGGTGCCCTTTGAACAGCTATTTCACAAAAGTCAGGGTTTCCTGTTTTATTGCATATACCTGATAGTACAAAGCCTGCTCACAGAACTCAAGCCATATGAGAAATTACTGCTACACACTATGCATCTGCACTTCAAAGGTTTCATGCATCTGCAACCTTAATTTCTCCTTACAGCTGCCTCACAAAATACATCATTTGTCTGACAAAATACCCTCATCATTTTATGAGGTATCTGAGCCTCAGAAATCAATGTTATCAAGCGTCAACAAGGGTTCTTCCCTGCCCTTTCCAATCCCTCCCTTCCTTCCTTCTTTCTCCCTTCCTTCCCACCCTCCCTCCATCCCCTCAGCACACACTTTCTGAGCAGCTATTGCATGCCAGGCATGCCAAATTCCAGACTCCCAGTTCCACTCCTTCCCAGCCATACTCTTCACTCCCCAGGAGCAGCAAATCACACTAGCAGGAAACCAAAAACAAGCGGAGCTCGCCATGAACGCAAAGCAGACCACAGCATCACGTCTGCATCTGGGGATTCCTCCTGGGGGCATCTCTTCCTAAGTCTTCTTCCAAACAGCCTTCTTCTCCATGCCTGTATTCTCTTCCTCTGAATACCTGCTTTCCTCAGCTTACTCTCTTCCTTAACCTTTAACCAAGTAATGATGTCCTCCTAGAAGTCTCTCCCCAGAATCTACCTGCCTGCCCTCCAATGTCAAGCAGTTCTGATATACCACCCACCTACAATTAAACAAGGCTTCCTGGCTTCTCACTGCCCTGGCTGGAATTCCTTGGCTTTTGCTCATCAACTAAGTTGTGAGAGTCTAGAAGCTACATCACGGAGTCATTGGGAGGGAAAAGACCCAGGTTTAAATCCCAGCTCCACCAATGACCAGCTATGAGACCTTGTACAAGTCTTGCAATATCATAGCCTTCATTTCCACATCCATAAACTGGGGGCAATGATATCTACCCAACCTATGGTGAGGATGAAGTAAATGATGCATACAAAGCCCTGGGCACCAAGCTGACACCTATTTGACCTCAGTACGTACTGCAATCCCCATCCCTCGCTAGCACGCACCTTCACCTTTTCCTGGCAGGCCCCTAAACTGCTGAGTCTTGCTCCTTCACGTTATTTTCTGATCTCCATACTACTTAACCTGTTTCTCTCTCTTTTCTTAAATTATACATTTCTAAAATATCAAACACTGCCTGGGTAGTCCTTTTTGGTCAGGCAATTACTAGTTACATCACCTACAATAGAAGGGCATTCGCTTTCCTATGCTTAACAAAGCAACAGGGTTGAAAAGAGCAGATCAGTGTTCAACTTGTGTCTCTCACTCCTCTGGCTGCGAGACCTGAAACTCTCTGTGCCTCAGTTTCTTCATCCATATAACAAGTGAAGTGTACGGGCCACTCAAAGATGAAAAAAAAAATGGCAGGTCAAATAAATGAGGTCCAAAATATGTTTTCTCTGGCCCATGTCATTTTTTAAAATGTTTAATTGGTTGCCAGCATTTAAGAAAAGCAAGGGATGTCACATAATAATTCAGATTTCTAACTTCTCTTAAAAGCTCAGATGGTATGGGAGGTTGAGGTCCACAATAACTAACATGGCAATAATTAGGTGGAGTTGAGTGGCAACTGGCCTGTTCCAATGGGGAGTGGGCTCTCCAGTTGATTTCAGTCCCATCGTCCTTTACTGCTCACAACACCCACTACCCTCATTTGTGTGACCTGTCTGACCTCTACAGACATATGAGCTGGATGGTCTCTCTAGACGCTTCTCTTTCTCAGATTCTAATTTGCCGTGCACAGGTTCCTTCAGGGAAGCTAGTCTGACCACCCCTTGTGAAGTATCCTCTTGGGGCCCGCTGAACAGATTATAAAATAGAAAGCCCTTGAGCAGAGAGGAGAGGGCAGGGTCTAACAGTCTTAGGAATGAGCACCATGCCTAGATAGGCAGAACATAGAGCTCAGTCTTCTATCTACTCTTCTTCATTATTGCCCAAGATCTGGTAGGCAAGGCTATGGTCCTGTAACTCTGCTCTTCCATCCTAGAACCAGAGTGAACCTGGAAGTAACAGGTAAGAAAGCTTAATTCATTGCAGACCCTGAATTTTCTGGACCAGCCCTGACTCTCCCCTCATGTCCTTCTCATTCCTGAGCTGCAGGCTCTTGCAGCTCTAGATACACGGACTGAAAGGTGTCAGGAAACCCCCCACTACCTCTGACACTGCTCCTGACTCTCCAGTAAATGACCTGGTGCCACGCACAGAGGACACGGCCACAGGATGTGAAGTAAGGAAGAATCCTGGAAGGACAATCAAGTCCTCTCAGTCCTCTATGTCCACTCATTTAACAGATGAGGAATTTGAGGCTCAAAGCCAGGAAATGACTGGTTTAAGGACGTACAGCACAGAGGTCTAGTCTCCCTTAGGGAACGTCAGCTCCCCTCTCCTGTTACCCATATGCTACACCCTGTACCCTCCCGTCTCCTATATCCTTTATGTGAGGGCCGAGTTCGGCCCTAAGAGTGAGGTGCTCACAGTTGCTTGCCCTGGGTGCCATCACAACCCACCTTTGTTCTCGGTTTCCATTTCTGGTTTTTCACAAGCATGTGTTGTTCATCATCTACCATTTTAGGAACTGGAATAGGAAACTTGTTGGCATAATTAGGATCTATGCCCCTGATGTAAGACCCCTGCAGGACAGAAATAACACACAAAATGACCACTCTTGGTTCCTCCTCTCCGAGAGGGGAAAAACCAGTGCTTGGCAAGATCTAAAGATGGAGCAGCTGTGGCTGAGGAAAGCCCAGGCCCAGCCAGCTGGGCCAGTCGTGTGTGCAGAGTGGCTTAAGGAGGAAAATGAACACCAAACATCTAGAGCAAGACCAGCAAGACGCGATGAGCAGTTCCCAGCTTTCCAGTGAATGGCCCGCCGCACAGTGCCTGCTTCTTCTCACCTTCTGTACCCACCTCTGCCCAGAAAAATCCAAGCTACCCAGAATCCATGATTTGGGGTTAGACTTCAGGTAAGAAGCAGACATAAACATGCCAGAGATGATTACTACTGGAGGAAAATTCTATTTTCACCTAAAAACATACTTTGTGATCTTGTAAAGTTTGTGTACTGTATGAGGCTGATCCACAAACATACTAATGGTGTTCTTACTGCATAAGCTGCAATGTAGCACTCTGGGAAAAAACTCCCTGTTCTGTGAGGTTTCAGGAAGCCTCTGCCTCTCCCGTCCTGAGAGGTTTCCAGGGGTGTGGTCCCTGCTGGAAGCACTGGTGATAGGAGAGTGAAATGGTGACCAGCGGGGAGGCCAGGCAACAAGGGAGTGACTGCTGAAGCCTGAGAGGCAGCAGCTACGGGGCAGGAGGCCAGCTGAGGGCCTGCCAAGCGGACCCGAAGGCTCGCGGTCAGGCCAACCTTAGCACAGAAACGCGGCTGGCCTCCAGACTGGCCCTCCCTGAGGGGAAGTACCTGCAGGAGGGCCACCTGGTTCTGAATGAATGTGTGCATCGACAGGTCCGCCTTGACCTGTTGTGCCAACGCAGCCCAGTGCTGGCTCACAGACGCACACTTGTTCAGGGTGTTTGTATCCAGCATACCTGCAAAACAGAAGATGGACCTGGGGACCTCTGAACTGGGCCATGATGGAGATCCCCCAGGACACCCCAACATACTTAGAATGTACTTAGAGAGGTGGATAGGCAGCTGACGGATGAAGTCCCGGAATTTGCTGACTCCAGAAGGCAGGCCTCGAACAGCACCCAGGTCAGGCAGGATGTTGGCAGGGGCACTCTCGGCCTTGGGCCTGTCTGCTTTTCCAGAAAACAGAGCATGCATTTTGGAAATGCACTGGAGTGAACACTTGCATTGTCCCTCTAGAGTGAAGCCAGAGAAAGGTGCATGTTTGGGTCAGCTTGGTGGTGACTCCAGACCAAAAGCAAGGCCTCCTCAAAGGCTCACCCCAAAATATTGCTCATCAGAATCTACCCACAGGCACTGGATTTGGGTCATTTCCTCTGCCAAAATGGAATTATAACCTCCTGAACCAAATACACAGTCCTTTTTGGCCTTCCCAGCACAAGGAGAGGGCTATAGATTTAAAGGTTGCCCATCTTGTGGGAAATGGCTTTGTGTCTAGAATGTCCTTCAAATCACCCCAACAAGTAAAAAATGTAAACACTCTTTTAAAGGGGGAATGAATGAAATAGATTGGTAAAATGTTGACAATGGTTGACGTTGGGTGATGGTTATGTGGGTAGTTATCATACTGTTCTACTTTTGAAATTTGAAATTCCCCATATAAAAAAAAAGTTTTAGAATCGATGCTTTTTGTTCCCTCTAATTATTTCATATGTATGTCTTGCTTCAAAACCCACTTTAGGGGGTCCAACTAAATTCCCCACTGCTGTGATTTACTCCTCAAGACTGGATTCGATGCTGCAAAATAACCACTGGAGGGTTGATTTCTAGAAGTGTCCACCATGCAGGGGTCAGGGGCTAGATGGGGAATCATGGCCTGGGACAGAAGGAGACTTCAAAGGAAACTCTTGATAACTTCCTTTCTGATCTCTATGTTCAGACATCTCTCGGAAGTACCACGGTGGAGAGGCAAAAACATGAGCTTACTGAGAGATCTGTATCCTTTGAATCCTTGCTTCTCTCCTTATCAGATGTGGGATTAAATGAGGGACTAAATATCACAGAGCCCTACACATGGCAGGTGCCAACTGAACATGAGTTCCCCAAATCTGCAATCCCTGGATGCTGTTGCCCTGCCAACCGGGCAGCTGCACTTGGAACTTCCCAGCCTTCTCTCTCTTGGCTCTCTCACTGCAAGATGACTTCCCAGTATGAAATGCTTCCCTCTGCACATTTTCAAGCAAGTTGCCTTCTCAAGTTTTGGATAAAGGGAAGGATGTGTGCTTGGTTCGGGCTGCCCAGTAGACATGGGAGGTCTTGGACTCGGGGTTGTAGCCTTTCTCAGGGAATAAAAACACATGGCTGGAGTCTTGATCAAGCCCTGAAAACCAGAAGGCCACTGCAAAGTTGCTCTTTAAGCATGCGTGTGCAGGGGAGACAGGTGGAAAGAAATGTTTTTTTTTCCATGCAAAATGGACCAGGCCCTGTTATGTCTGTTTTTCAGTGGGGGCCTCTGAGTCTCTGTGCAGAAATCACAGAAAGCCCCCTGGTAGATGTCACAAGTTCACCTACGATGCAAAATTACCAGAGCTCTATGTACGAGGAGAGAAAGTGAACAAGGTGTGGCCAGGAGCTGGAAGAAAGCCTGCTTTTCTGAAGCTCTTGCTTAATTTCAAGATGAAAAACTACCCTTGAGTCAAATTAGAAATTTTAATATTTTAAGAGAGAAGCTCCTCTAGGAGAGGGCAAAGGTTGCCACAACTTATCAGTGGGTTTGTATAGCTGTAGTAGTAATAGCTGATTCTGACGGGGGTGGTGGGGCCTGGCTTTCAGCCCCCTTACTGGCTCACCTAGGCCGTGGCACTCAGATTCCCCGAGTTCAGGCTTCTGTATAAAATTCAGGAGGCAGACTGGTGGATCTCGAATCTAACTTACAGTACCCTTTGACTTTCTTGCCACTGCTTCACTCCTGACACACTAAAGAAAGTTATTTTCATATATTGGGACCTATCTGTCCCCCAGGTCACCCACCCAGCTTTAAAAGTATTTTGGGTTCTTTCAGTCCACACGTATGACCACAAATCAGGTCTCATGGACATTAGGAATTCTGCACCTCCAAGAGCTCAAACTGCTCCTGACTCTCCCTCCCAGCCCTCTCCCAACCCCCACTAAACCTGTGCGTCCCATGCTGGGCCTTCCACTCCCAGAACACTTTATAATCTCTAATCTCTTGCCTCCCTTCTGATTTTTGTTTTGTTTTTGTTTTTGTTGTTTCTTTTTGCTTCCCTGGTCCAGCTGGTCAAACATTCCCAAGATCTTCCCTACACCACACCCTAGACCAGGGGCTCTCAAAGTGAGGCTCCCAGACCAGCAGCGTCAGCATAGGCTGGGAACGTGCCAGAAATGCAGACGCTTTGACCCACCTCAGCCCTGCTGAGTCAGGAGCTCAGCAGGGGTACCCTAGCCACCTCACCCCACCCCCACCATGCATTAATAACCCTTCTCTGTGATTCTGATATAAGCTGAAGTTTGAGAACTACTGGCCTAGGCTTATTTGTCCTTTTGCTGTCTCCAGCCTCAGATAAACCGCCCTTCAAGGCTGGATTTTATGAACAACCAAGGAATGTGGTGGAATGAATGAAAAAGCCCTAAATTTCAACCTCTCAACCTGGTTTCTGTGCAGTGCAAACCAAAGGGCAAAACAACTCAGTAATTTCTCTCTTACATCTCGCCCTCCCAAATCCAGTCCAGTCTCTAACCCACTAATGCAGGAACAACACCAGCATTCAGGAATAGAGGTGCCAAACAACCATTTCTGGGCCTGCAGGATGCAGAAATCCATTTTAAATGCCTGAAATCCACACTTGTCATTTTACGATTTTCTAGAAAGAAGTCCTGTTGAACAATTTCTCCTTCGGTAAACACGATTGGGTGTCAGGACAAAGAACTCTATCCTGCCTCTGGAAAATCCCCACCTGCCTAAGCTCGTCCACACCTCCAGCTCCTTCGCAGACTCCTGAGATCTGCCTTCCTGGTCTCTGGGGGCCCTCTGGTTGCTCCCTGTGGCCTGGCTCACCTGAGATGTGCTTCTGCTCTCTCAGAAGCAGGGCTCTGATGACATCGGCAGCAGCGAGCAGTAAATTGGAGTCGCACATCTGCAGCAGCAGGAGTGTGAAATGTGCCTTAGTCCCGTTGGGGCTCTTCCCAAACCAGGGCAAGATCTCCTCCGTCTTCTGTTCCACAGTTTTATCCAATATCTGGTTCAAGGAGGGCTTCAGGCTTTTCCCTTCCTTCTTGCTGAGGTTGATCCGGGACCTGTTATAGATAAAATCCTTTCCCTGTGTGGTCTGAAGGATGTTTTGAAAATAGTGTAACAAGTACAAGCTATCTAACTGCTCCAGAATGCTAACTAGAAACCTCCTCTGGGACATCTCACTGACCCTGTGGAACCACTCTTTGGCAGAGAAGATCTTGCAAGCCAAGATACATGTTTCGCACTTCTGGCACACGGGGACAGAATCGCTTCCCTTCTCACAGCGGAAACAGGGAGCGTTCCTGAGCCTAGACTCCAGGTTTTCCATGATCCTGAGATGACCAGCTCATTTTATCTTCGCACATTGTTGTCAAGTCCACCAAACGCCAGAGGGACGGGAGAAGCTGATGTATACCCCAGTTGAGCCTTTTCTATTATAAACATTTCCCAGGGACAAACTAATCCGACGGATGGAAGGCTTATGACTCCCAGAAACTGCCGGTAGAAGCCTGGCTTTTTGTACCGACCTCCTAGGAAACACGGCTTTACCGTAAATCTCCTAAACCTGGCACTGCTGATGTGGAGGCAGTTGCTGTATATTCTGAAAGAGCTGGTCATCTCATTTCTAGAACAAGAATAGCGTTAATTCATAAGGACACCTTTTAATGGAAAAAATATATATATCTATATAGTCGAGCCTGGTGTTGAGCTCCAGTTGTAACAACTTTTAAATATTTGTGACTATAAAGTTAAACTTATGTTTATAGTTGTTCAGTTATAAGGTGACAATCCCAAAGATCTTGAATATGTTTATATTCACTTTCTTAACTCGTCATCAAAGTAAAACACAAACATTTGATATAAATTTAAGTTAACTTCTTCAGAATGCTAACCAGAATCCCTGCAGGGAACCACTCCTTAGTGGAAAAAGTTTCACTGGGCCTGAGAATGTTTCTGGGGACACCCAACCACTGTCACACACCCACATGTGTGTCTGGAGGCAGTACAGCTTAGCAGTACGCTTAGTGAAGAGCGTGGGTCTGGGGTCTGACTCCTGGGCTTGGACCCCAGTCCAGCTGCTTGCTGCCTCTGTGTACATGGACACATCATTTAATCCTCTATGCTTCAATATCCTCGTGTGAAGCAGCAACGACAATGGTTCCTACTTCACAGAGTCATTGAGAGACACTACATGCAAAACACTTAGAAAATTGCCTGGTCCATACTTAGCCTTCCATGAATCCTAACTAATGTCTTGCTGTTGCCATCCTCATCGTCATTTTAATCATCGTCTGGGCAGCCAAACAATGTCCACTACCATGTTTACACATGGTATGTACATGTATCTTGTTTGTGTGTGTATAAGAATGATGTCTTGAGCCATTAGCACCAACCCTGTGAGTGCACATGGACCTTGGGGTTCCCATCAGAGGGCTTCTGCTGTCAGGTATGACCCGGAGAGAGGCCAGGGGCTCACTGGGCTTTTCAAACATTTTCATTGGGAGATCCTATTTGCAAATCATGTCTTCTGTAAAAGCTCAAAATGTAACATAGACAAAAGTGATATTATATTAGTACAAATTTGTGTTATAAGTTCAAAAGTTTACTTGTTAGCCAGGTAGTTACTGAGGACAATGGCACTATTCTGATGAAGACAAAACCTTTAAACCTGAAATTAGGGAAGGAAGATACTGTCATATCAGCTTCAAAATCCACAAAATTTCAATTAGCAGTGGCTCCAGGGACCCTAGAAGCCACAGAAGCCAGTTTAAAAAAAACACAATTAAATGCTGACATATTCAAGATGAGGGCCTGCAACTAACAGTCAAAAGTTTCCACCAAAAATATACACTCACACACATACTACACACATATATATGCATACACACACAGACAGAAAGAGCAGATGTAACAAAAATGCTAATAAGTGGTGAATGTGAGTGAAGAGTATACGAGTGTTAATTGTTCTATTCTTTTAGCTTTTCGTAGGTTTGAACTTTTTCAGAATGACTAATATATACGGCTAAGTTAGAAAAATTTCCTCTAATAGACTACTCCCCAGCGGTGGCCACCCAGCTCCCCACCTCAGCCAAAATGCCCTTGCAGATGTTGGGCAGCCCAGAACGGACATTCAAAGGCGCGTGGAGACAATTCTACTTCAGAAAAGACTAGGTTCAAACACTGATTCGGGTTCTTAGGAGCCCTGTGATCTTGAGTAAGCTACGTGGCCCCTCTGAGCCTGTTTCTCCACCTTACTGATGAGGATGGCAGAGATGAAGGTTAAAAGGAAAAGACTGGATGCAAACTCCACAGTTCAAGCAGGTTTATTGCTAAACCTGAGAGGGACCCCTCTGTTCTGGTGAGCAGAACAAAGAAGGCCTCTCTTACAGGCTAACATAACAGGCTTTTAATGGCCAGGTTTTTAGGCGGGCTTCTGAGGGAATGGGTCAGGGAAAAGGTGGGCTTGTGGCTTGCTGACATGTCCTCTGGAGAATGCTTATAGCCTAAGTAAGATGAAACCTAGGTCTCTCTGAGATGGTGGGTGGGCTTATTCAAGAAGGTGGTACTCCTGTCCGGGCTCTATCAAAGGTGGATAATAAAAGCTAGAACCACCTTCCAGGATACAGTCAAATGTGTGAGACCAGTTGTCACTGCTACTGTCATTGGTGCCCTAGATTAAACTTCCAGTGCCCATATCTGGAAACCCAGCATACTCAGAGAGAGACACTGAAAATATCACCGGGCTTGCACAGGGTCAATGTGGGGACAGGAATCAGGCTGGGAAAATCAATTCTAACAGCCTGGCCTCTTCTCTCTGCAGAGGTATCTGGAGTCAAGGCAAGAGGGGATTAGCATCTCATTTATCAGGATGGCCAGACAAAGGGGAGTAGCCCAGGGCAGGGGCACAAATGGGGGTCAGAAGACAAGCTGGAATCCCATTGCTGCTTCTTACTAAGGTGTGGCCTTGAACAAACTGCTCAAACCTCTCTGAGCAGCTGCTTCCTTGTCTGTAGAAAACATGACAATGCCTACCTGCAAGGTTTTGTAGTGTAAGGATTACATTAAAGTAGGTGAGCACAGCTGCTGCCCCTCCACCCATTCACCACCACTGCATGCACACACACATGGACACTCAGGTATGCATGCACACACCCGAACACTCAGATGCACATACACAGACACTCAGGCATGCACATACATGGACACTTGGACGTGCACACTCATGGACACTTGGGTGCACAGCATCTCTCCTGCCTTAGGCCGGAGTCAGGGCTTTGGTAGAGGGCAGGCCCAGAAGGGATAAGCTAATGGTGGGGAGTGGCCAGTGGTAGTTTAGGAGGCAGGCAGGCAAACAGGTCCCAGAGTAAGACCCTAGAGAGGAAAACATTTCTGAGGAAGGCTTGGGGCTAAGAAATACATCTGGAGATTTCTCAAATACCTAGGCTACCAGCAACCTAAAGGCTTCATGCCAGTCTCCGAGCTTCCCTTTCTGTCCTGTATTATTCCATTTTATTCATGATTCTGATTAAACCTTGTCTTGCCAGTGGGTTTCAGCCCGGGGCAAGTTCAGTATGGATTCAGCGAGACCAAGAAATGACAGTGGAACATTTTTGGCATAAAAGGGTTTATTACCCAGCTTGTTCTCCTGGCTATAGGTCAATCACTAGAATTATGTCTGCATCCAACAATCCGAAGGTCTGTATTCTCCTTTGCCTCTGCCTCTGTCCAGAGAACAGGGCAGAGCTCTTTATATAGTGACTCAATAATAGCTTATTGCCTAAGGGTGTGGAAGCAGTAGCCTAGCAGTAGGTCAATTACATCATCAACTAGTTTAGGGTCAGGGGAGGATCCTGGCCACAGGAAACCCAACTTTCCCCACAAACTCTTTTCCCAAATGTGGATAAAGTGAAGGTTCCTATGACCAGGATTCTCACAAGGCCCTGGTTGGGCAATATGTCATTATTGACTCTAGATAAAGAGCTCTGCCCAGTGCTCTGGGTGATGTGGTGGCACAGCTGCAAGACTGCAGGAGAACAGAGACGAGACTGGGGTAGTGGCACTGCCGAGGACAAAGACTGAGATGGCTGCGGGGGCAGAGAGGCCCAGAGGCAGAGATGGGCTTGCTGCATGCAGACTCACTCTGAGTGGATGGGATTTTAGTGATTGACCTGCCATCATGGAAATAAAGTTGGGTATAAACCCTTTCACCCCAAGAACATTCCACTGTCATTTCCTTTGTCTCATTGAATCCATAGTGAACTTGCCCAGGGCTGAAACCCATTGACAAGACACCAAATCACCCCAAATCTCCACTTCCTTTACCCACTCTCCCGCATGGTTTAGAAAGCCCCAGGAGGTGTGGCTGCTGCTTCACCCCCATTGGCTTTGCTGTCCTGCACCTGAGCGTCTGCTGGCCCCACAGCCCCTGCCCGGGTCGGCCAGTGGGAAGTCAGGAAGGTTCCAGAGCAGGAGAGTGTGGATTGCAGCAGGGCAGCTCCCAGCCTGCCCCTGTCTTGCCTGTGGGTTTCAACCCCAGGCAAGTTGGCTCTGGATTCAGTGTGGCTAAAGAAATGACAGTAGAACATTTCTTTGGTGTGAAAGGGTTTATTACCCGGCTTGTTCTCCCAGCGTCTCTGCCTCCACCCAGAGCACTGGGCCGAGCGCTCTATATAGCGCAATAATAGCTTATTGCCTAAAGGTGTGGAAGTGGTAGCCCAGCAACAGGCCAATTACATCATCAAGCAGCTTAAGTTCAGCAGGATCCTGGCCATAGGAACCCCAACTTCCCCACAATACCCAACTTTATTCCCACGGTGGCAGGTCAATCACTAGAATCCCATCCACCCAGAGCGAGTCTGCACATAGCAAACCGGTCTCTGCCTCTGGGCCTCTCTGCCCCTGCAGCCATCTCAGTCTCTGTCCTCAGTGCTGCCACCACTCCAGTCTCATCTCTGCTCTCCTGCAGCCCTATAGCCATGCCACCGTGTAAAGAGCAGAGCTCTTTATAGAGTCAATAATGACATATTGCCCACACATGTGTAGTGAGCTAGCCCACCTGGGCCAGGTGAGAATCCTGGCCATAGGAATCTTCATGTTATTCACATCCTAGATCATAATTCCACCTATCCCACGGGTGAGTGGATAGGTCAAATGAAGGGATATATTTGTAAAGGCACTTTGTAACATGCAGTACAGGGGGCATTAGGGAAAGTGTTTTATCCATCACCCCCATCATGCAGTATTACACTCATTAGCAAAGTTAAAAGAGAAAAGTCTTTGTTCATGAGAAGTCAGGGAGTTCCCATGTTGCCAATTTGCCCTCTGACTTTAAAAGAAACAGGTGGAAAACAAGTGTACTGGCTAGAAATGTTTTCTCATCCAGAAGGGAGAGAACCAAAAGAACACAGAAGTTCTACACTGAGCGGAAGTAGCTGATTCTCCAGGACTCTGTAGTGGCCGAAAAACATCTTCCTACTTATACTAAAACTTGCAGGCACTTGTAATCAGAGAGCAGAACAGGTTACAGAGAGCTAACAGATGTAACCCAACTGTTCTCAAACCTAAGCACGTGTGCAACGCCCCTTGGAGGCCTTGTTAAACAGATTGCTGGGCCCACCCAGGGTACCTGATTCAGTAAGTCTAGGCTGGGAGCAGGAGAATTTGCATTTCTAGTAAGTTCCCAGGTGATGCTAAGGCTGCTGGTCAGGAAATTACTACTTGAGAACCACTGAAATAAGCTCTGCTCATGTCTCAAAATCTGTGAACATAACTTCATGTTGGAAATAAACACAAATATGTGTGCATTTTATTGTATGTGCCTGTGGGGGAGTTGGGGTTCCTATGGCCAGGATCCCCACTGAACTTAAACCACCTGATGATGTAACTGGCCTGTTGCTAGGCTACCACTTCCACACCTTTAGGCAATAAGATATTATTGCACTACATAGAGAGATTGGCCCAGTGCTCTGGGTGGAGGCAGAGACGCTAGTGCTCAACCTACCACCGGGAGAACAAACTGGGTAATAAACCCTTTCACCCCAAAGAATGTTTTGCTATCAATTTCTTTGGTCACATTGAATCCATAGCGAACTTGCCCAGGGCTGAAACCCATTGGCAAGACAGTACCTCAACATTAAAAAAATTTTTTTAAATAAGCACAACTATTTCTTTCAGAATGTATGTGTGTCCTTGACCAAGTTACTTAACCTCTCTGAGCACCAATTTTTTCATATTCATTCCCTAACACAAGGAATTTATCTCATTGGCCTGCAAAGATTAAATGAGATAAGAAATGGTATGGATAAAGTGAAGGTTCCTATGGCCAGGATCCTTACCTGACCCTAAACTACTTGATGATGTAACTGCCCTGCTGCTGGGCTACTGCTTCCACATCTGTAGGCAATAAGCTATTATTGACTGAGTCACTATAGAGATGAAGGAGGATTACAGACCTGCATACTGATGGATGCAGACGTAATTCTAGTGCTCGACCTATCGCCGGGAGAACAAGCTGGGTAATAAACCCTTTTACCCTAAGAATGTTCCAATATCATTCCTCAGTCTCACTGAATCCATAGTGAACTTGCCCAAGGATGAAACCCATTGGTAAGACAAATGGTATTAAAAAATAGCACTCAAAATGCTAGAGCCTTTTTTACTTCTCATTAATCTTTAAAAAAGTCTAAGCTTTTTAGAGGACCTGCAGCACTCAGCAGATACATGTGATAGTCCAAGGCAGACTTGGAGAGAGGCTGCAGGTAACTGATACAGTTAACCAGCTGAATCTGCTATTATATGTTGTCTTGCCTGAGGGTTTCAGCCCTGGCAAGTTCACTCACTATGGATTCGGTAAGACCAAGGAATGACAATGGAACTTTCTTACGGTAAAAGGGTTTATACCTGGCTGTTTTGCCAATGGGGGTTTCAGCCCCAGGCAAGTTCACTATGGATTCAGTGTGACCAAAGAAAATGACAGTAAAACGTTCTTGGGGTGAAAGGGTTTATACCCAACTTTATTTCCACAGTGCCAGGTCAATCACTAAATCCTGTTCACTCAGAGCAAGTCTGCATGCAGCAAGCTGGTAGCTGCCTCTGGGTCCCTCTGCCTGCACAGCTGTCCTCTGGGCCTCTTTGCTGCACAGTCAGTCGTCCTGCACAGCCATCCTCTGGGCCTCTCTGCCACACAGTCATTCCACACAGGTGTCCTCTAGGCCTCTGTCCTCAGCTCTGCCACCACTCTAGCCTCTGCTCTGCTCTCCTGCAGCCTTGCAGCCCTGACACCATTTCACCCAGAGCACTGGGCAGAGCTCTTTATATAGAGTCAAAGCAACATATTGCCCACCTGTGTGTTAGTGAGCTAGCCAATCAGGGCCAGGTGAGAATCCTGGCCATAGGAACTTTCATTTTATCCACACTGGCTTTATTCTCATGGTAGTAGGTAGAGCACTAAAATAACGTCTGCACGCAGCAGTCTGCAGATCTGTAATCCACCTCCGTCTCCGCCTTCACCAGGAGCAGTAGGCAGAGCTCTTTATATAGTGACTCAGTCAGTAATAGCTTATTGCCTATGGGTGTGGAAGCAGTGGCTTAGCAGCAGGCCGGTTACATCATCAAGTAGCTTATGGTCAGGTGAGGATCCTGACCTAGGAACTTCCATTTTCCCCACACATGTTATTTGTGCTTACAGACTCACCAGATTAGTGAGGGCTCCTGTGTGCCAGCTGTCTGGTTTGCTTTCAGACAGGCCCTAAAAACCATGCTACAATAGCTTAGCAGCTTTTGGGGGGCTCTAGCTATGCATTTATCACTGATGAATAACACATGATACATTGGTAAAGGAGGCAAAGTGATCACCAGTGTTCCGTGAATAAGAAAAGGGCCAGGTTTTAGGGCTGGATGCACTCCGAGATGCAGGTGGGGAGTCCAGTGTCCCCATTTTACATATGAAGAAACTGAGGCCCAAAATGATTCCACTGGCAGAATGCCAAAGTTAAAGGCAATGATGAAAAATAGAGCGACAAATTCATTCCAGGAGAAGTAGGACTTGGGGGTCAGTAAAGGTGGCTGTTCACTTCCCTGAGATGGGGGACCAAGAAACCCTGCAGTCCTAATGGTCAATTTGAGGAGCAGGCCAAAAACAGCATAAGTGGAAGTGTTACTGGTGGAATGCATTGTTTCCCCAATTCTTGTCCTCTCAAAGGAAAGAATTCAGTCTAGAGACCAAATAGCAAGAAAAAGAGCAGAGAGGACTTTATTGGTTAAATTGTTAAAGCAAAAAGTACACCCTCAGACAGGAGAGTGGCTGTCTGGAAAACAGAAGCAGCTTCCTGTGAGGATTAGGTTGGCTTTTATTTTTTCTTAAATGGCAGGAAGTCCTGCCCTGCATCTTACATCATTTGACTGACAGGTTGCTTGACAGCTCTAGGTTATATAACCTTTTTCTCTGTGCACAGACACCTTACCCATAAGTACTCAATCAAAGCCTGCAGAGGGGCCAAAGCCACAATGCTAATTATATTTAGATGTTATTTTAATGAGGTAGGGTTACCTTCGAACAAGGTCTTCAGACCTTGAGCAGGCCTTGTAATCAGGGAAGCCCCTGCGGTCCTGAGCCTCTTGACAGTCCAGGTGTCCTAGACTGTCTGGGCCTCCTGATCAGCTAGTGTCCTTGACTGTGGAACTGGGCGCTAAGGAGGGCTGAGGGGTTGGCCAGGGAGGAGTCCTCCTTGGTGATGGGCTGGCCCCTTTCTCCTGCTCATGTCTAACTGCCTGCTCTAACAGAAGAAATGAGAAAGAAAAGAAAAAAGAGAGAAAGGGTATGGGAAAAAAATGGAGGCAAAATGAGAAAGAAGAGTAAGACACCTTCCTCTGGCAGCCTTGTCCCCATGCCTCCTACCAGGGAACAGGATGGGGTCCTGACCCTAATCATTACCACTGTCAGCCTGGCTACTGAGGTCAGCGCAGAATCTATTTGACAGAGAGGAAAAGGAACACTAAATGGAAGGATGATGAGAACAATGAAATGAACACCATCGTGAAATGGAAACACTACTCATTTAAGATCAAGAAAAATTAATAAGCAGACCCCATACCTTTTGGGTTATCATGCCCCTCTAAATTTACTTAAGCAATAGGATAAGTAAGCTAGTTGCACAGAACCAGGCATCCTTGTCCTCTCCCAGAGAGAGCTGGATAAGACAGCCCAGGAGCCCACCTCTAAGTGCACCAGGGCCCCAGGACCCCGAAGGCCATCGCCACCTGCCACTACCCCTGCCAGCCTGCCTGGGCTTCCACGGGCCCTGCCAGCACTTCTAGCAGAGAGGGCCATGTGCCTGGGCAGAGGCCAGCAATGGGACACCCAAAACCAACCACACTACCTTCGTATCACAGTGGAAAGCCTGGAGTATCCAGTAGGAAAATAAAATTCAATTTCAAAATCAAGACTGAATGGAAGATGGAGCAAGAGCAAGGGAGGAAGGGTCTGAGAGGAATGTCTGGAACAGAAGGATGACAAGGGTTTTTATGTAAACGTCTGGAGAGCACATTATAATCTGAAAAGACCAAAAATGTGCAATTCTATAGCGCAAAGCATCTGAGATAGTGTAAGGGGTTAATTGCAGTTTGCAGCAGCTTGGTAGGATTTTTGAAAAGTACTTTTTCATATGAGACATCAACACACACACATGCACATTTTTTTCAGTTTATCAGGATCACTGCACAAGTCATTAATTGGATGGACAAGATTTTAATCTCAAATGACCCATCACTGCTATGCTGACCCTCAGTCCTTTTAAATGACTTGCTTGCCCTCCTCCTGTCCAGGACTTGGCCTCCTTCCTTAGGGCAGAAGGTGGGATTTTCTCAAAAACACCAGAAATAAAGATAAAGGACTAAGCATGTCCCAAGAAAGCCTGGGTGACCTGTCCCTCTACCTGAGCCACACACAGTGTGAGCCCTGCATGTGAATATCAGACACACACGGTACAGTGCACCTCCCTGCCAGGGCCTCCCGCCCTACCACCACAGTGTCCCCTCAGGGGTGCTGAGGGAGGGAGGGGCGCCATACCTGAGGGAGCCAGAACAAAAAGGAGGTGTGCTCGCTACCTTTCCTTCCGCTTCTGTCTTTGGCTAGTGGGGCTGGAGTAGCGGCCCCTGGAATGGGGGCAGTTGGTTGCAGAGATGGGAAGTAATCAGGTGTGAGTCAGTCGGCAACCCAATCTATAACAGTCACTGGAGATGGCCTGAGATGACGTTAAATTAGAAGCAGTGTACAAGACACCGAGAGGAGGAATGCAATGCATTTCCTACATGGCCTCACCTATTATTGCCTTGAATAGTAGATTCCTATTAGCTCTTCAGATTCGAATTCTGTTCACTTCAACTTAAATCAGCTTCTGTGACCAAAAGATACAGCAAGCTGTCTTCTGGGTTACTGTATCTTAATACCTAGCATGGTGGTTTGCACATTATAAATGCCACATAGGTTAATTCAATTTGATTTTAAGACAGTCACACCAAAACACACCAGAGCAAGTTAAAGACAAAAGGGCTCTGTGATTGGGACAAAATTCCTATCTCATCATTTCATCAATAATCTTGGGACAATGCAGGAATTTACTCCGAATCTGTAAGTTTCCTGGAAATGAATGCCATGTGCACTTGGATTTCAGAATTTGAGTCAACAGTAAATCACATTACAGCTAAAATTATGTTCATCCTCTACAATCACAAGTGATCTGCCACCAGGGGGGCACTCCTGATGAGTTCAGATTTTCTTTTCCCCAAAATGAGTCCACACAATGGGTGAGGAAATAAATATGAGTAAGCACAGAAGAGTGGCACACACTTACACAGCTTTGGGGAAATGACAGAGAATATAAAAATAGGCCTTCGTTCTCTCTCTTTTTTTTGTTTTAGGAAATTTTCAGTTTGGGATCAAAAGAAAAAAGATAAGCCCATCCGCTGAGGCAATGACAGAAAGAAAGTAAATACTCCTGACTCTCAATTTTGCTTTGACCTCTTGTAACAAGAAGAAAAGTCTTGGAACTGAAAACCACTGGACGAAAAAAGCTGATGGGGAATGAAGCTCAAGACAGGTCAGGAGACCTCCCAGGGGTTCCTCTGATATGAGGTCGGGTATTCCGACCTAACCTCTCATGACTGACACAGTTTACTACTGTAACTAACACCAGGCAGGCATCTTTGGGAAATTAGGGAAAAGTATAAAGGGTGGTGACAGGAAAAATATTCTTGATTTTAAAGGAGAAAAATAAGGTCAATTCTGGAAACAACAGACTACCCAAGTTGATGTTAACCCACAGAATTCAAAAATGGTTTGATCAGGTATTTTGTGAGTGACTAGAAAATAAAGTAGCCAGCATCAATGACCCACAGTGGTTCAATAAAAACAAGTCTGGCCAAGCTGATCTCACTCTCCCTTCTGGCAGCATTATGAGTAAGTAAATACTCACAGCCTATGTTGATTTCTGCCCCTGAAAATCCTTCATGGTGTCCCATTGTTAAAGGAGCAAAGGTGAACTATCTTAGGTACAGTTCTACCGATACATAATTTGCTGAAAACAAACCCAAAAGATACTGAGTGCTGCCAGGTTCTGTATTGGGCCCTACCCTAATCAATGTATCAATAAGATTAAGACTTAAGAAGAAAGGTTACCAAAGATGACAGTATGGTAGGAAGGAGAGCTCATAAATTGGATGCAGAATCATGCATCAAAATATCTCAGCATGCAGTTCTGATGTGATGAAATTAAAATAGAAAAAAATTAATTCGATAAAAATCAAATTTTTTAAAGTTCACATCCTATTAAGCGGCATCATGATTAGCACCATAATATGGGGGGGGGGGCACGGGGAAGGCAGTATAGCACAGAGAAGACAAGTAGTGACTCCATAGCATCTCACTATGCTTATGGACAGTGACTGTAATGGGGTATGTGGTGGGGACTTGATAATGGGGGGAGTCTAGTAACCACAATGTTGCTCATGTTAAACCTGAGTGTAAGATTGTATATCAATGATACCTTAATAAAAAAAAAGAAAAGAAATAAAGATTAAGTCCCTGCCCTCCCCTGCACCCCCCAAAAAAGTCTACATCCTACACTCTTTAAATCCTGGGACAGAGATATAGGATGGGCTCTTCTGGAAACAAGCCGAGTGCTGCCCAAGTAATGTGCTCCTGAGATGGGACCATCGGCCTGGTTAGAGGAAGAGACTTGTCTTAACACAAATCACAGGGAAAGGCAGGAAGTTACATTTCTGGTGAAGCCTGACTGGGGCTTCACATTTTATCCTTGGGACACCATTTAGGCAGTTTGCCCTTCGCCCGAAGCCTTGGTGAATGTTCGCCATTAAACTGAGGGAGCACGTCTGTCAAAAGAGGATGAAATGATGGGAGGGGAGGATGAAAGGCCTGGAGACCACAAGGGAAGTGGGAAATACAGGCTGTAAATAAGAGAAGCAGGAAACAGAATGTGCAGACAAGAGTACTTCCCAGGAGAACTGTCTTCAAATACTTGAAGAGCTGCCCCTTGAAGGAGAAATCAGACAAGTGCACATAATCCAGGTGACATCAGAAGAGAGGAAAGAGGCCCCTTCCCAGAGGTCACAGGGGCTAACACTTGGACTCCATTTAGACATTTCTTATAATCCTCACTGTCCAAAAATAGGATGAGCTGCTGTGTGAGGCAGTGAGCTTTCTCACAGCTGCCTGGCCCTGTTGACATGGTGCAGAGATGGGCGATTTAAGACTCTCAGTTTCCATGCTCTGTAGCTCGTCGTGGAGTTTATTCCCTCGTGCACGATGCCCATGATCTAGTAAGGCAGCGCAGTGCAGCGGTTGAAATCTTGGTCAGGTTTGAATCCCCGCTCTACCACTCACTCACCATGCAACTACAATGAGCAAGTTCACTAGCCCCCAGGACCACTGTTTCCCCATCTGCAAAGTGGGGATCAACCCAGTGGGGCTGCTCTCAAGGTTAATGCCCAGGAAGCGCTCAGAACAGGGTCTGGGATGCTTGAAATGGTCAATAAAGCTAACAATTTATTATGGCTATTCTGCAATCTTTTTAATCTCTCTGAAGATTCCTGGTTGCCAATCTTGGGCACAGTGTGAAGTTCACCTGAGCAGATAGAACAACACTGGTCCAGAAGGGGATTCAGGCACCTAAGGATGCCTACAAACACAGAGGACAGGCCAGCACTCAGCAAAAGGGAGAAACTGGAGACCCTTCTCCTGGTTCATGACCCACATGATTCCTAAAACCAGCTACCACTGGCAGAGATCTCTGCCCCCAAGTCACCCTTAAAATGCAAGCTGCTGCCCCATCTTCACAGTTAGCAAAAGCCTGGTGGAGTCTATGGAGCAGCCTCTACCGAGGCAGGTGCCAGCTTCTCAGGCTCCTCTCCCAGATCCACAATCCGGATGGTGTTTTCCTTCTTGGAAAGCCAGAAGGCAGGGTAGACTGGCTCAGAGAACTTGCACTCAAACTTGTGAACAAGAGTCATGGCATCAGGCTCTATGCCATAGAACGAAAGGATGCCTCCCAGGAAGTCGACGTAGATCCCCAGCCTCCGGAAAGGGCTGGCTTTGAGAGGCGTCTCCGAGTCACTGTGCCAGGCCGTGAACTCCTTGCCATTCCAGTGGAGGCTCCAGGAGAAACTGTTTCCAGAAATGCAACCATTACGCTCCTCCCCTCTCCGGTCGATGCCTTTGCAGGTCAGGCCAACGTAGATGCCCCCGCCAGAGAGCTCCACCTCAAAGTAGTACCTGTGCAGGTACAGGCTCTGTTGGGACAGCACCTGCCGCCAATGCACGAACCTACTGGGGAGGTCGGGGTAGGGATGCTCCCAGGGCGTGGTGTTGGTGACCTTGCGGTTGTCCTCCTGCAGCCGGAGATACCTGTGCGCCGTGTCTGGGTCAAATGCGATGTCACACGCATCTGAGGAGATACAGAGGGCAGGGAGAGTAGGTCAGGAACCAACAGGTGATTCAGATAGAACATGTCAAAACCCAGCCAGCCTCCAAGGTGTGAGAAAACAACCATCTCCTGTTCTCAGTTCCCCAGGCCACTGGTGCCCTCCAAAAAAGAGGTGGGCAAAAACCAGAAGGTAGAGAACGCATCACTCCACTTCTTTCCTTTCTGAAGCTCAAAGCCCTTGGCCCTTACTGTATTATTTGCTGAACTGAATCAAGAAATAAAATCCATTGATTTGCTCAGTCACTCAACAAATAGGTGTTGAAAGCCAGGCACTCTTCTATCCAGTGCTGGCAAGGGTTTGAGGAAATAAGCATTCATATACCCACATTTGATTCATCCATTCTTCTTTACAAAATATTTGACCAATATTTAGCATGGTGAACTTGCAAATATTCCCTCAAACATATTCTCTGCCCAGTCCCAGACAATAGTAGCACCTCTATGCAGCTGCTCAAGTCCCACTGAGGTCATTTTTTACATTTCTTTGCCCTCATCCTCACCCTGCCTTATCCCCCCCCAGACACACATACAAAGGCAGCAGCAAGCCCTGGAGATGCCACCCACTTCTCCCCAGTCCCCTGCTTCACCTCCCAGCTCGGCCACCACCAAGTCTCGCCAGACTAGTGGGAAAGGCACCCTGCTGGTCGTGTCACTCTCTGGAACCTTTTCCACACCTTCTGCATGACAGAGCCACAGTGAGTGTTCCAGGGTGCAGGCTGAAGCAAATCCTGCCACCCGGGTGTGAAGCCCTTTGATGGTGCCCCTTGCTCACAGGGTAGAGCAGCGACCACTCGCCTGCATGGCTGGCCCTTGCCTGGGTCTCCAGTCTTGTCTCCTGCTCTCTCCCCCTTGACCACCACACTCCAGCACCCAGACCTCAGACCTGCCCAACGCTGACCCCACTGCAGGGCTTTAGCACAGACCCTTCTCTCTGTGACGAGATAGTCACCCTGACCTGAGTCTGGGTGATTCCTGCTTCTCCTTTCAGATGGTGGGTAAAAGTCTGGGTCCTCAAAGAGGCCCTCTGTGACCCCCAAACTGAGGCAGATGCCTGTCCATCACTTCCTTTCTGAGTGCCCTGGCCACTTACACTTAATGGCACTCTTTGCAATGTACAGTAATCTATTTATCTGCGTGTATGTCTCTGCTTGTCCTTCTGATCTATAAGCTCCACATTACATGAGGGACTCTGTCCTGAGGTTCTAGCTCAGAGATGTTTCGTATATATTTTCCAAATGAATTACCATATTAAAAGCTATTAAAAACCATTACTTTAAAAAGTTATCTTAGATTAACTCAGAGTTTTCCAAACTGTGTCTGAGGTAAAAAAAAATTCTTAATAGTCAATGAGACCCTGTTAGAAGAAAAGGGGGGGCAGAACAATCCAAGAAGTAAAAAGGGAAAATGAATGTGAGCTGTGCACCATACAAAGGCATATGGCTGCTCGTTTCAGCAGCATAGTATTAAAACTGGAAGGATACAGAGATGAGCACAGTCCCTGCGCAAGGATGACACACACATTCGTGAAGAGCTTCCATATTTTTGAAGGTGGTCCAAGGTGTAAACTTCCAGTTATAAGATAAATAAGTTCTGGGGCTGTAAGTACAGCCTAGTGACCATAGTTAACCACACTGTATTATATATTTGAAAGTTGCCAAGAGAGTGGGTCTTTTGTTTGTTTGTTTTTTGAATAATCAAGGTAAGAGAGAAAGAGTAGGTCTTAAAAGTTCTCATCACCAGAAAAATAATTCATAACTATGTGAGGTGATGGATGTTAACTTGACTTGGTGGTCATTTTGCAACATATACATATATTGAATCATTATGTTGTACACCTAGGATTAATGCAATGTTATACGTGAATTATATTGCAATTTTTTTACAGTCTTAAAAACGAGGCATATTTTTTAAATGTCTGCCACTCTGTGGTCCTAAAAGTGACCCCAACAGCATCAAAAACAACTCTTGCCCACCACTGACTCGTCTGGCAATCCTTAGCATCCAAATATTGAACAGAAATATCCTTCTCATCTAAGGGGAACTGGGAGTCCTAGGAGAGTAGGTGGTTTTATGTCTTGAGACCAGAAAACCAGAATGGGTCTGGAACATTCTGTTAGTGCCAGAAGGCAATAATATTTTTAAGAATGTCAAGGTCAGAATGCTAATGTGTAAAGGAGGAAGAAGGCCAGCTCTACAAGGATCAAGTTGGCAACTTGAGCTGCAGAACTTTGACAAGTGAAATAATCTGAGTCTATTAAAGGGCAGAACTTCGTAACAATACTCAAAGAGATAAAGTTAATATCATGTGTGGAAAAAGACATTTGTGATGTCAAAGAAGACACATTCTCATAGGATAGGTTTTGCTTTTATTTTAATGTTAAAGATAAAGGGTATTTGGTTTCTTATATTAAAATTATATCTGGGCAAGGGAAACAAAGGCAAAAATGAACAAGTGGGACTATATCAAGCTAAAAAGCTTCTGTACAGCAAAGGACACCATCAATAGAACATAAAGGTATCCTACAGTATGGGAGAATATATTCATAAATGACAGATTCAATAAAGGATTGACATCCAAAATATATAAAGAGCTCACACCTCAACAAACAAAAAGCAAATAATCCAATTAAAAAATGGGCAGAGGAACTGAATAGACAGTTCTCTAAAGAAGAAATCCAGATGGCCAACAGGCACATGAAAAGATGCTCCATATCGCTAATCATCAGAGAAATGCAAATTAAAACCACAATGAGATATCACCTCACACTAGTAAGGATGGCTACCATCCAAAAGACAAACAACAACAAATGTTGGCGAGGTTGTGGAGAAAGGGGAGCCCTCCTACGCTGCTGGTGGGAATGTAAATTAGTTCAACCATTGTGGAAAGCAGTATGGAGGTTTCTCAAAATGCTCAAAATAGAAATACCATTTGACCCAGGAATTCCACTTCTAGGAATTTACCCTAAGAATGCAGCACTCCAGTTTGAAGAAGACAGATGCACCCCTATGTTTATCGCTGCACTATTTACAATAGCCAAGAAATGGAAGCACCCTAAGTGTCCATCAGTAGATGAATGGATAAAGAAGAGGTGGTACATATACACAATGGAATATTACTCGGCCATAAGAAGGAAACAAATTCTACCATTTGCAGCAACATGGATGGAGCTAGAGGGTATTATGCTCAGTGAAATAAGCCAGGTAGAGAAAGACAAGTACCAAATGTGGTACTCATATGTGGAGCACAAAAACAAAGGAAAACTGAAGGAACAAAACAGCAGCAGAATCACAGAACCCAAGAATGGACTGATAGTTACCAAAGGGAAAGGGACTGGGGAGTTTGGTTGGTATTGTTGGGATAAGGGTGGGGAAAAAGAAAGAGGGCATTACGATTAGCATGTATAGTGTGTGGAGGGCACGGGGAGGCTGTGCAACACAGAGAAGACAAGTAGTGATTTTATAGCATCTTACTATGCAGATGGACAGTGACTGTGAAGGGGTATGTGGGGGGGACTTGGTGAAGGGGAGAACCTAGTAAACATAATGTTCTTCATGTAATTGTAGATTAATGATACCAAAATAAAAATAATTAAATTAAATTAAAATTTAAAAAATATTATATCTGTTTGTAAAATACAGGTGTGCTTCTGTCAGGAAGGAGATAAAAATGAGTGAAGAACAGTGTGGAGGTCCTGGGAAAAGAGTAGAAGCCATGGCAAGAATAGGGGACAGTCATCGGAAACTCAGGCTCCACATAATAACCAGAGAAAAAAGGGGTCCAGGAGTGAGTCAGCCAGTGGTTGTCTCCAGAAAACAAGCAGAAGCGGGGTTCAATGGAATGTTCCAAAAAGATAAATTAGCCAAATGTCATAAAAATGAGTCTTGACTACATAGATATAGTCCTTCCTCTAGTAGGAGATGAAAGTTCATGGACTCGTTAGCCAAAATTAAGTATTGACAGGAACTGCAGCGTTTTTAAAATGCCAACAGACCAGGTCAATGTCACATAAGGTTAGGACAATGGGTTATGCAACTTGGCCCAACCAGACTTAAAAGGGAACCGTTTGGTAATTAGCCAACATCTTCAAAAGCGTCAAGGTCATGAAAGCTGGAGAAAGACTAAGGGACTAGACCCAGATGGGGGGAGACAAGGAGGCATGGAAATAAGTGATCCTGGATCAGACCTTAGGCCCAAAAAAGGATATTAGTTGAAACACTTGGGGAAATTTGAATAAATTCTGAAGGTTTGTTAGTGTAGCAATTTTCATTTCCTGATTTTGATCAATATACTTAAGTCAAGTGTTAACATTTGGAGAAGTTGGGTGAAAAGTATATGGAAATTCTTTGTCCTATTTTTACAATGTTTCTGTAAGTTTGAAATGAAAAGTTAAACATTTTAAACCCTAATTTTTAAATATGTGCCATTTAGGAATAAGCCCAAGGTTGCAAGAACCTGACACCAGCATGAGAGATGGAGTCCTTGCTTTAGCAAAGCATTACAGTGACACCAATAACTGGGGAAGGGGAGGCTGTTCACAACTTACATTGGAGGAACTGTTCTCTGGTGCTGGGCTCGGGTTTTGAGGTCCAATACTTGCGCTCAACAACGGCAGACACTTGAGTTGTGATGTCACACTCCTCTAGAAAATTAGAGAGTTATGAGTGCACACGGTCCAGGCAGTCAGGATAACCTAAGAGGCAGGACTCCCCAGCCAATCTTCCCTGGGCTTCCTGGGAGAGGAAGGAGCTGGAGCTCCCCTACCCCCTATCTCAGAGGATCATGCTCGGCAGACTGCATTTCTCTCATGGATGAAGCAAAATAGGAAGAAGATTCCCAGACTGGCTTGTATTTCACTTGAAAGTACAGACATTAACAACCTCAGAAACCAGTCACAGAAATGCCAGCCAATTGCATGTGACTAACTTACTTTCTCTGGGTCTCAATCATAAAATAAAATAATCAGGATAAAGCCCATTAGTAACACAGTCAAACTGAAGGACGGCTTTGAAAGTACAGTATTCCCCGATTTCGCCCTCCCTCCCCGGGCTCTCTCGCCTTGCCCATCAACCACTCTGAGGGACACATACCACAGCCCACGGCCCAGAAAGCCTCTCACCTTCCTTGGAGAAATCCTCCAGCGTCTCCTTGTAGTCCTGCAGCAGCCGGATCAGGTGCGCTGTGGAGTCCGTGATGACCTTGCGGATGCCGGAGAGCTTGTCCTTGAGGCCTATGTAAACACTGGGGAAGGCGCTGTCCTCAGTGTTCTTAAACTTGCAGTACTCCTGCAGGGAGGGAAACATGGCACTACTTGCCTTGGTCTCTGCACTTCTTACACTGGGCTGCATCCGTGAAATGGGCTGATGATTTAACATGGGTTCACAGAGAAAGTGTATATAATGTGTCCACCTCAGGACCTGACAACCAAAAGTATTTATTATTTGAACTGGGAAAATGGACTTTAAAAAATCAAGAGACACTAGACACCCATGAATAGCTCCAATATACAGTCCAGACTGGGGACCAAGAAACAGTGCACATTTTATTCCAACCACCCACTTGGCAGGAGCATTCCTGCTATGTTCATTCCCTCAGAACTATTTTTTTTTTTGATAATTTAATCACAAGCCATGGTAGCAAATGCAGGAGCTGGTGCAGAACCTGGAAGATCCACAGATAGGTCATCAGACAGGGTGCTGGCTTCTCCTTGTCAGCTTAATCCCACACACCGTTTTCTGTAATTCTCATACTTTGCTTTACAGCTTGAAAAGTGTTTTTCACGTAATCACATTAAACTGCTTAAGCTTCAAAATAATGTGGTGAACAGGAAAAGTTCCTTTCAGAAGTAATATATTATCAGAATTCAAATGCAATTCAAGTATTGAAGAGCAGAGGGATACAGCAGGAAAGTTAGGTTGAAACAGTTGTTCCAAAATGCTTAGATTAAAAGCAGAGAAGAAAAAGTCCAAACCAGAGAGCTGATAGAGAAAAAGATAAACATTTTAACACTATATAGATTTAGTATCACTACAGTACTAAAGTAACATTTTAAATCAGTGGTGGAAAAGACAGGTTATCTGATACATGTTGTCTTTTCAAATGGCTAACAGTTTGGGGAAAAGGAGTTATCTTTAACCAAAATAAATAAGTTTATCTTACACTAAAATAAATTTTATATATATTAAAGTTTTTATGTTAAAGTTATAAAAGAGAAATTATTTAAAGGAATTATTTCTTTGGAGAAACTCATGACTTGGGAAACCAACTATTTATTCATATTTTCCTTGTTCTGATACTGAAAAGCAAAGGCACTGACAGAAAGAGAGACTGTCCATCGGCATTTTTTCTCTCCCTCTGCCTGCTTCTCTTTCTCTCATTCAGTAAAGAGTTAACTTTGGTCGGCCTTGTGTGGTAGGAGTATGGGTGGTTGTTTTCCTTCATATTTTTCTGTATTTCCCAAGTTCTTTTTTCATAATAAACATTTATGTTTGTTGTAATCCAAAAAGTGCAAGAAAAATTATGTGTAGTTAGGGATATTAGAGCTGAAGGAGCCTTGAAAATTTTTGACTCCCATCTGATTGTCTAATGTGTGAGGGATTTGAGACACAGAGAGGGTAAGTGACTTACTAAAAACTACACAGCCATTTTAATGACAGATCCAGGGTGATAGAATTTACACCCAACCTAGTGCTCCTTACCTGCAAGACTGCCTGTCCTTCACATCTGCTCTAACGTCATGTGGCTTAATGTACAATGAGTGGTTCGTGTAAAGGAAAGTCCCATCCCCTCAGCAGGGCCTCCCTCAGTCAACCAGCACACACAGCTGCTCTGAAAGGCAACAGGTCTCCTGTCTCCTTGCTGGGAGGCAGGCTCCCAAAGGCTGTCAGAGTGGTTTATAAAGCACACTGACCTGAGCTCATCACTCCCCATCTGACGTCCTCCACTGCCTTCCGTGACCTCATGACAAACCTCATCATAAGCAGATGCCCTGGCCAGCCAGCCTCACCTCCCATCACTGCCAGCCTCCAGCACTCCAGCCCTACGCATGCACCTTGGTTCCCCAAGTCACCTGAGCTTCCTCAAACCTCTCTGCCTTTGCATACACTGTTCCCTCCATGGAACATACTTTTGCTTGGACATTACTCATTTTCTGTGACCTGGTTCCAGCCTCCCCATTCCAGGAAGTCCTCCCTACCCATTCCAGGCTCTGCCCTCTGCTGGATCTACACCTGTTTCTCAGCCCCACGGCTCCCTTATAAATGCTCCCATTCATCAAAGAGTGGCTCTGTATCCACATTTCCCGCATCTGCCACAGGTGTGCAGGGCAAGGGCGCTCCCTGCCCCCAGCCACATGCATGCATCCACCTGCACCCCTGCCCGACCTCCAGGAACAGGACGGTGTTGCTGATGGCGGCAATCCTGTGCAGCTCCTGCTTGCTCTTCTCCAGCCCTGCACTTCTGTGCTCCAGGTAGGTCTGGATGCCATTGGCCTGGCTCAGAGCCGCCTGCTCCTTCTCCTCCAGGAAGAGCACCACGTCAGCCTGGGCCTTCCTCATGGCGGCAAGGACTTCCTCAAACTGCTCCTCGGCCGCCATCTTCACCTCTGACACGGACACCTGGTGACCAAGGGAGTTAGTGAAGAACCTGTTAGTGAGGTTTCTGGCTTCGTCAAAGCTCAGCACACAGAGATGTAACCTGAGAAACTGGACATGGCAAGCAATTTTCTATGCAATAAATAGGGAAGCTCTTATTCTCATCTGAGTCCTGGGTTCCTGGGAAAAAGGATTTACTCTCCAGCATATTAACAGCTTATTTTTATCAATCTTTAACAGTCTCTACCCATTTGCTAAGCAACTCAATTATATATTTCTGAGACCCCATCCAGCTCTGACAATCCAGGGCTACTATTCAAGTTTCTGAAATCAATTTTCCTACCAGGGCAGTGTAAGTATTCAGAATACTTCATACTTGTATTTCTTGTGGCGAATGAGTGCTTTGGCTTCTTTGTACTAATCAGTAGCATGAATCAGCTTTCTTAGCATTTCATTATGTTAGGTTACACTGCCTACTGAGTCCATCAGAGCTGAAAGCGCATCTAAGCTTTTGATGATCACAGCACCTGAGCGTTGCAGGGTGAGCCCACCTGTGCAGAATGGAATGGTACATCCAAACAAAACAGAAAACAAAATCCATGTGATAAATATTAAGGATTTGTACAATAGTCCTTGTGTATGTGGGTGCTGTCCTATCACAGGTTAAACATCCTTTATAAATGCCCTCAGTGGATTTCATATTTACATTAACCCAAGTTTAAATGGTTTCCTCTTCTCCTCAGTAGTTCTTAAGTGTCGGTGCTGACAGCCCCCTCTGATACCCTCCAGTCTCATCTCATTGTACACCCATTAATTATCTCATTAAACTTCATATAAAGGTCTTGGACACAAGTTCCTTTGCTCATACTCCTTCACCCCTACTCCCCAGCCCAGAACCTGTTCTCTGCCTGCCTCAGTCTCCCCCACTGTCCCCACCCACATACATCCCATCTGACAGCATTCTGAGCACCCCTTCACGGTGCTCTTCTCTGCTCCTCCGGGAGCAGGGCCAGCCCTGAACATCCTGGGCTCTAAAGGGAGCCAAGACAAGATGCCTTCAAGGGCTGGGGCTGCAGGGGCACTCCCTCCACTGGCAAGGGAGGTAGGGAAGGAAGGGAGGAGGGGAAGGGGGCTGGGTAAGGAGAGGACCCAAAGGGATGGGACCTCGGGCCCAGGGCATGTGCAAGCCTTAAGGTTTGGAGGGAGATGGGAAGAAGAAATGATGACACCAGATAGGAGGACTCCTGCCTGGCTGGGGCCTCTGCTCAACCAGGGCTCAGGAATGCAACCTCATAAGGATGCCTGGTCTCTGATCAGTCTGATCTGATGGTGGCGGGAGGAATGAGGAGGGGAAGGAGGCAGGGGTGTCCTTACTGGAGGGGGCATGGACAGGAAGAGGGGTAGAACCTCCTTACATTCTCATCTGCCTGCCAACTGCTCTACCACCTATTGGCTTCCTCGAGGTCAGGGCAGCTGAACAGAACTGAAAATATAAACTGGTAAAGGGATAAAGGAAGAGAGCAAATGGGAGATCTTCTCCAAATTCCTCAAGCCCAACGCAGGAAGAGCCTTTGGAGGATGGTGGTTGTAGTGTAGGGGCCTAACATTAAGCTTTTGGTTGCCGAGGCAACCATTTCAAAAGACATCCATGTGGAACTAACGCATTGCCAGCTGTGTGACACAGCCCCTAGTGAACAACCAGATAAGGAATTAGCCTGCCCTCACTTCCAGAAAGCCCTGGGTGACCTAAATAACTGAGTAACCCCACTCCTCCCTGCCCATGCCCTAATTCCCACTCTTATTGCCTCCAATTGCCCCTAAAAGGGTGAACCCATGTGTCTTGCCTGAGGGTTTCAGCCCCAGGCAAGTTCACTATGGATTCAGACCCGAGAAATGACAATGGAACATTCTTTGGGTAAAGGGTTTATACTGGATTTATTCTCCCGGCAGTAGGTCAAGTGCTAGAATCACATCTGCACCCAGCAGTCTGCAGGTCCATAATCCACCTCCATCTCTGCCTCCTCCCAGAGCACTGGGCAGAGCTCTTTATACAATGGCTCAGTCAGAAGTAGCTCATTGCCTACAGGTGTGGGAGCAGTAGCCTAGCAGTAGGTCAATTACATCACCAGATAGTTTAGGGTCAGGTGAGAATCCTGGCCATAGGAACTTCCATTTTCCCCACACCATGAAACCCTAGACACCCCATCCTCAGACCCTAACAAAAGACAGAGCCCCAGGCCCACACTTTCTCCCTCTCTCTCTCTACCTGTGACCTCACTGCCTGCTGTGTGGCCCTCAAGCATGTTGTGTGCCATCCAGAACCTGTGAATAATAAACTGTGTACTTCAAAGCTCCCAGACAGTTTCTTGCTGAAGTGCATCCTGCAATTATATACAGTAAGAGCTAGGCGGGCTCTCCAGCCGTGACACGGCTCTGGAGGGGAAATGCCCGTGGGGCTCGCCCTGAGCAATACCAGCCTCAGGGAGCATTACTGACAATAGGTGGGAGCCCACGGCAGTGCTGAGAAGCGAAGGCAGCACAGAGCCAGGCCGGGAAGCCCAAGGGCATCCGTGGTCTCTGCTCCTTTGGAGCCCTGGTGGTGGGGCTGCCCTGGCTCCTGGGGGGAGAAACAGCAGCACCTGAGCAAGCTGCTCAGGGCTTTCAGATGGGATGTGGGAGGGTGGCGACGAAGGGGAGACTGAGGCAGGCAGCAAACAGGCACTGGGCTGTGGGCAGGGCCTTTAGGTCACTGTCTGAAGACCGAAGACCTGAGAACCAGGGAAGCTACCTGGACCCCTCCTGGGCCCCAGCAGCACACCTGGGCGGGGCCTCTGCTGGGCACAGGCTCAGCAGCCCTCTGACATCTCACCTGTCTCCCTCTTCTCACTCGCCAGGGAATGACGACCCTCTCTGCCTGTCTGGTCTCTTTCTTAATTACATAAAACAGTGATCATAATAACTAATATTTAGTAAGTGCTTTTTATGCAGCAGCCACTGTTCTTAGCACCATACACACATTATCTCAGAGCAAGGCCAAGAGGTGGCTACTATCCCAGTCCCCTTTCTTAGGGAGGCAATAATAAATGACGGGATTTGCCCAAGATCACACAGCTAAGGCTTGACTTCAGTCTGTCTGCCTCCAGAGCCCATTCCTTTACCACCACTCATGGGGCCTCTCAGCAGGGCTGCAGCCCAGAAGCTTCGCAACCACAGCCTGACCTCTGCCTGTGGACACAGGCACACTCGTGAGGCAGAACAAGAGAGATGAAAGGCAACTCCGCTGAGCTTGAGCCCGAGGGCTGGAGCCCTGTGAGGACTGCAGGGAAGGGCCTTCGGGCTCAGCCCTTTAAACCGAAGCCCACAGGACTTCACCATGGGTGCTGGTCCAGGAGCGCTGCCCACACCGTGAAGGACCAAGGGTACAGGGAGCTTCTGGGCAGTGGCCAGAGGAGAAAGATGGCAAGTCTTCCTAGCCACTCCTGGGTCAACCATTTGCGAGTATTGCCTCCTGTCATTGTAAAACCTATGAATCTGAGAAAATTAAATCATACATGTATTTAAATCTAAGTGTCCAATTATACTTCAAGACTGCAACAAGTAAAGATGGAGAAATCTCTCAGGAGGCAAGCCGGTTTTGCTTATAACCAGTTTGGTGGGGAGTACCGCTGTTGGTATTTTCACCAGGCTCCAAAGTAACTAAGACATTCCGGCTGCCTCGCTTCCTCCCTTCCCTGCCCACTTGGGGGCCACAGGGTGCTCCCTGCCCACTCCTGATCACTGCCAGAAAGCAGGGGCAGGCAGGGCCTGGGGGCCAACATGAGGGTGCTGTGGAAAAGGCACAGAACCCACTCATTCCCTATAATTATGACATGTAGCTTCCTCATACAAGCACGATACCAAGAGGCTGAGAGGCATGGCTCTAAGACAACATTAGTGTCCAGAACCCCTCTCCCCCGCTGAGGCCCTCCTGAGCAAGGGGATGGCAGGAGGTCTCAAAGGACATCAGTGGTTTGACTGTTCCACAGGCTTGTGACCCTCATTCCTAAGCCATCCCATGGAGAAAAACTTCTTCCCCACATGAAGATGGAATGTGCAAAGGATATCATTTACTGCCCAAATGACAACAAATAAAGACCACAGAAAGGAGGGGCCACAAACACAGCAAAGTACCCAAGTTAATGGTTTAAAAAGGTTGAGGATGTTGCATATGCCTGTCAATGTACCGAGTCTTCCTTAGGTTGAGGGAGCAACAGTCCAGGGTTCTCCTGTTCCGTTAACCTAGGGGCACCATACAAGTCTTGTCATCTTTCTGTGTCTTCAAGTCCCTCATACATGGTGGCCACTGTGATAACCACCTCCCCAGCTATCAGGCAATGTGAGAAGCGCTGAGCAGGGATCAAAGAATCCAAGAAATAAAGAGCTGGAAAAAGGCAAGATGCTCCATGTGGTTCTCCAAATTATTGTGAACCTGGAAATCAACAGTCTCTGAAGTTATGAGGTTTTAAAGGGACAATTACTTTTCTTCTTTTCCTAAGACTATGTGGGTATGAAAGAGGTGTCTGTCTGTGAGCAGGTGATAAGTTGTAAACACTGAAGAGGAGGAAATTAAATTGAAATGGGTACATGTATTAGATATGGAGGATGAATGGATGGATGGGGTGGATGGGTGGATGGATGGATGGACAGATGGGTGTGTGGATAGATGGGTGGGTGGATGGGTAGATGGGTGGGTGGGTGGATGGGTGGATGGATAGAATAATTCATGGTATGCAAAGATGATACTGCTAACTCATTACCATAGGTTAGGTGTTTTGCATTCTCTTCTGAGTGGTGGTTATTGGCTTGCCACTAGGGAGAGCATTTGTGGCACTGTTTGGGTTTGCATGGAAAGTGGCCATAAACCAGACAGACTAGAGCTGAGTAGCCTGGCACACTATTGGCTTTTCAAGTTACCATCCACTAATCCAGCTGCTCTTAACTCTTTTTTCTGGCTCCCAGGACAGAAGACTGGTGAGACTCACATGCAGAGCCCTCTCCCATGATGGAAGAGGCTAGGATAATTCCTGGAGCTCTAGCTAAACACCACATCCATTCCCCAACACACTCTTTTCTCCAGGTCAGAAAAGCATATGCAAATGTAAAAATAAGAATGCTGTTGTCCGGGACCAGCGTTGCTTCTACTCTACATTATTAGAAAGTAAATCACTTGCCAGTTTTGAACTCCAAACTAATTTCATAGCAAATCCCAACAGCAAGGTGAAGACACCCATGGTGTAGCCAACAGTATCTGTACATAAAATTCTCATCTGCTGAGAAACCACTGGGAGCCCATGTCCAGGGCAGCTGGGCCTGCAGCCGCCTGTCCCACAACCCCGAAGGGCTTGGCTAAGCCTGCAGCAGCAGCCAGATGTGCTAAACCCTGAGGGTGACCCCAGACCAGACTTACCAAAACAGATTTGTGGTTGGCTTGGAGCCTGGCAATGGCATTTTCATTCAACTTGAGTTTCCGCTCCAGATCTAACTGGGTGCTCCAAAGCTCAGCCTAAGAAAAGGAAAGGACAGTATTAAGGAGGAAGGAGCCCAGTGCACACAGAAGGTCCCCAGGAGCAATGGCGCTATCCACTCTTCTTCCATTGAAAGGAAAGTTTGACCTCAGAAGCCAGCCTAAAAGAGTGCCCTAAATGGAGGCCTGAAGGGTCAGCTGGATTCCAGCTGAACTCAGCACAGATCAGCTAAAATGCAGTGAGCACATATGTTGTGTTGTACTGGTCTTCATTACAAGCATTAATATGGATTACCTCATATCCCGACCACACCCATATTACGCAAATATCATTATTTCCATTTTACAGATGATGAAATCAGGCCCCCATCTCAGGTCTCACAGTTCACCGGTGGAGCTGAACCCAAGCCATCTGACCCCAGAATGATCTAAGGAGGAATTGAGCAGGGGGTGGGGAGCCCAATGTGGGAGGGTGGCGACGAAGGGGAGACTGAGGCAGGCAGCAAACAGGCACTGGGCTGTGGGCAGGGCCTTTAGGTCACTGTCTGAAGACCGAAGACCTGAGAACCAGGGAAGCTACCTGGACCCCTCCTGGGCCCCAGCAGCACACCTGGGCGGGGCCTCTGCTGGGCACAGGCTCAGCAGCCCTCTGACATCTCACCTGTCTCCCTCTTCTCACTCGCCAGGGAATGACGACCCTCTCTGCCTGTCTGGTCTCTTTCTTAATTACATAAAACAGTGATCATAATAACTAATATTTAGTAAGTGCTTTTTATGCAGCAGCCACTGTTCTTAGCACCATACACACATTATCTCAGAGCAAGGCCAAGAGGTGGCTACTATCCCAGTCCCCTTTCTTAGGGAGGCAATAATAAATGACGGGATTTGCCCAAGATCACACAGCTAAGGCTTGACTTCAGTCTGTCTGCCTCCAGAGCCCATTCCTTTACCACCACTCATGGGGCCTCTCAGCAGGGCTGCAGCCCAGAAGCTTCGCAACCACAGCCTGACCTCTGCCTGTGGACACAGGCACACTCGTGAGGCAGAACAAGAGAGATGAAAGGCAACTCCGCTGAGCTTGAGCCCGAGGGCTGGAGCCCTGTGAGGACTGCAGGGAAGGGCCTTCGGGCTCAGCCCTTTAAACCGAAGCCCACAGGACTTCACCATGGGTGCTGGTCCAGGAGCGCTGCCCACACCGTGAAGGACCAAGGGTACAGGGAGCTTCTGGGCAGTGGCCAGAGGAGAAAGATGGCAAGTCTTCCTAGCCACTCCTGGGTCAACCATTTGCGAGTATTGCCTCCTGTCATTGTAAAACCTATGAATCTGAGAAAATTAAATCATACATGTATTTAAATCTAAGTGTCCAATTATACTTCAAGACTGCAACAAGTAAAGATGGAGAAATCTCTCAGGAGGCAAGCCGGTTTTGCTTATAACCAGTTTGGTGGGGAGTACCGCTGTTGGTATTTTCACCAGGCTCCAAAGTAACTAAGACATTCCGGCTGCCTCGCTTCCTCCCTTCCCTGCCCACTTGGGGGCCACAGGGTGCTCCCTGCCCACTCCTGATCACTGCCAGAAAGCAGGGGCAGGCAGGGCCTGGGGGCCAACATGAGGGTGCTGTGGAAAAGGCACAGAACCCACTCATTCCCTATAATTATGACATGTAGCTTCCTCATACAAGCACGATACCAAGAGGCTGAGAGGCATGGCTCTAAGACAACATTAGTGTCCAGAACCCCTCTCCCCCGCTGAGGCCCTCCTGAGCAAGGGGATGGCAGGAGGTCTCAAAGGACATCAGTGGTTTGACTGTTCCACAGGCTTGTGACCCTCATTCCTAAGCCATCCCATGGAGAAAAACTTCTTCCCCACATGAAGATGGAATGTGCAAAGGATATCATTTACTGCCCAAATGACAACAAATAAAGACCACAGAAAGGAGGGGCCACAAACACAGCAAAGTACCCAAGTTAATGGTTTAAAAAGGTTGAGGATGTTGCATATGCCTGTCAATGTACCGAGTCTTCCTTAGGTTGAGGGAGCAACAGTCCAGGGTTCTCCTGTTCCGTTAACCTAGGGGCACCATACAAGTCTTGTCATCTTTCTGTGTCTTCAAGTCCCTCATACATGGTGGCCACTGTGATAACCACCTCCCCAGCTATCAGGCAATGTGAGAAGCGCTGAGCAGGGATCAAAGAATCCAAGAAATAAAGAGCTGGAAAAAGGCAAGATGCTCCATGTGGTTCTCCAAATTATTGTGAACCTGGAAATCAACAGTCTCTGAAGTTATGAGGTTTTAAAGGGACAATTACTTTTCTTCTTTTCCTAAGACTATGTGGGTATGAAAGAGGTGTCTGTCTGTGAGCAGGTGATAAGTTGTAAACACTGAAGAGGAGGAAATTAAATTGAAATGGGTACATGTATTAGATATGGAGGATGAATGGATGGATGGGGTGGATGGGTGGATGGATAGAATAATTCATGGTATGCAAAGATGATACTGCTAACTCATTACCATAGGTTAGGTGTTTTGCATTCTCTTCTGAGTGGTGGTTATTGGCTTGCCACTAGGGAGAGCATTTGTGGCACTGTTTGGGTTTGCATGGAAAGTGGCCATAAACCAGACAGACTAGAGCTGAGTAGCCTGGCACACTATTGGCTTTTCAAGTTACCATCCACTAATCCAGCTGCTCTTAACTCTTTTTTCTGGCTCCCAGGACAGAAGACTGGTGAGACTCACATGCAGAGCCCTCTCCCATGATGGAAGAGGCTAGGATAATTCCTGGAGCTCTAGCTAAACACCACATCCATTCCCCAACACACTCTTTTCTCCAGGTCAGAAAAGCATATGCAAATGTAAAAATAAGAATGCTGTTGTCCGGGACCAGCCTTGCTTCTACTCTACATTATTAGAAAGTAAATCACTTGCCAGTTTTGAACTCCAAACTAATTTCATAGCAAATCCCAACAGCAAGGTGAAGACACCCATGGTGTAGCCAACAGTATCTGTACATAAAATTCTCATCTGCTGAGAAACCACTGGGAGCCCATGTCCAGGGCAGCTGGGCCTGCAGCCGCCTGTCCCACAACCCCGAAGGGCTTGGCTAAGCCTGCAGCAGCAGCCAGATGTGCTAAACCCTGAGGGTGACCCCAGACCAGACTTACCAAAACAGATTTGTGGTTGGCTTGGAGCCTGGCAATGGCATTTTCATTCAACTTGAGTTTCCGCTCCAGATCTAACTGGGTGCTCCAAAGCTCAGCCTAAGAAAAGGAAAGGACAGTATTAAGGAGGAAGGAGCCCAGTGCACACAGAAGGTCCCCAGGAGCAATGGCGCTATCCACTCTTCTTCCATTGAAAGGAAAGTTTGACCTCAGAAGCCAGCCTAAAAGAGTGCCCTAAATGGAGGCCTGAAGGGTCAGCTGGATTCCAGCTGAACTCAGCACAGATCAGCTAAAATGCAGTGAGCACATATGTTGTGTTGTACTGGTCTTCATTACAAGCATTAATATGGATTACCTCATATCCTGACCACACCCATATTACGCAAATATCATTATTTCCATTTTACAGATGATGAAATCAGGCCCCCATCTCAGGTCTCACAGTTCACCGGTGGAGCTGAACCCAAGCCATCTGACCCCAGAATGATCTAAGGAGGAATTGAGCAGGGGGTGGGGAGCCCAAATTTTCTGTTTTGCAGCTGGAACTTTGGAAAATTCTACTTAACATCTGCAGACTTCCATTTCTTCACCTGTAAAATGGGGATAGCCACAGAGGCTAATTCAGAGGGTTTCTGGGAGGACGGAATGAGAGGGTGTGTGTTGGTAAGAATTTGTCAGGAAGCTGGCACACTGTAAGGGCCTCACTAAGGCCAGTGATGCCATTGTCATCAGCATCAGCATTATTATTATTGCTATGATGGCTGCTTCCCATCACGGACTCTCATTCACTCCTGGTGGCAGGCGGGGCGAACCTCCCAGCCAAGGCAGGTGCTGGCAGAGAGCCAGGGGTTGGCCTGCTTTGACCTCACCACCCACTCCACTCTAACCTCCTGCGACTCCCTAAGCACTTTCTGCCAAGAAGTGTACCAAGGCATAACACCTAAGCTTTCGAAAATTTCAAAAGCCCTGTCACTTTCCCACTTCCACAAGGGCATGAGACAGCAAAAAAGAATCGCTTTAAGTACTTTTAATAAGTGAAGTCTGCATTCAGAACTGTGAGTCCTTACGCCCCAATAGAACCCAGAGGGCAGAGATGAGGTGTCTCTTCTTTCCCCCACTGAAGCCTGGGGGGATTCCAGGCCCCCAGGGAGGGCCACAGAGGCACGCAGGGGGCTTGCCTCACTCTGCAGAAAGCAGGTCACATTTGCTCAGGCTCTGGGATGCTGACTTGGAGCAGAGGGAGCCCCAGAGAGCTCCCGCCCTGGGACCTGAAACCTGATGCCCCCTGGGGGAATGGGCAGGGGAGTCTGGCGTTATCTGACTGCAATCATGGGACCTCGGTCTGTCTATCTAAAAGGCTCACACAGCGACCTGTTCAGGGAGAGCAGAAATGCAAACTAGTGTTTAAAGGTGGTGGAAGACACAACAGAATACACCCTAGCAACAGGATGCAATGCCCCAGCATGCTCCAGAGCCACAGGGAGACACCCAGAGAGTATCCAGTTGGGGGCCTCTCCACTATCTGAAGGCTGCCATAAAAGGAGAAAAGGACTCCCGAGTATCGAGTACCTGACGGGGATCTCTTTGAGTCACCCCAGGAGGAGGCCCTCCCAGTTACCACAAAAGGTGGGGCCACTTTGGGAGACCAGTATCTCCAGTCATTTCTGTTCCCAGAAAATGACGGGGTGCCTCAGACCCCGGCTCCAGGGCTTCCCAAGATGCCAGCTGTGCACATGACTCAGGCCAAGGTGGGGCCTGCATGAAAGTGGGACAGTGATGCCAGTGAGTGAGGGCTGCCCTCCATGGAAGGGCCCAGAGCCGCACCTCCTTCAGCAAAGCAATGAGAAATGCTGGGCAAAAGGCCCAGTATTGGGGATGGGAAGACCTGTGTTGCTGGTATATGGTTTTTGTCAAACCGTTTAGCTTCCATCCTCAGGGCAGAGGTGGCACCTGAGCTTGGTGGGCAGGGTTTAGGGATGCAAACAGGAACAGCAGAGGCATGAGAAGAGAGAAGAAAATTCTAGATGGTGTCAGTTCCTTTGTATTTTGACCCACACAATGCTGGCCCTTGTGGAGAGTTTGCATTTGGTAGCACTAGGATTCCCCCCAGACCCTGGCTTCATCCCTCAGTCAATTGCCCAGAACCTACTGGCTGCCAGTCCAGTCAAATAAAACACCCTCCCTGCTCTTGAAAGGCATACAGCCTGGTAGAATGTTTAAGGAAAAAGAAGTTACACAACACTGAGTCCACGGCATTCCTCAGAATTTCCAGAGGAAGCTCTTTTCCTGAATGGCCTCAAATCACCCCCTTCTTGGCACCCAGCAAACAGGCTGTGAGCAGTGCTGGTTAACCGCTCCTCAGCTCAGCACAAATACTTTTGGCTCTCAAAAACTTGCCTCCTGCTCCTCATGGAGACCAGGTCCGAGGGCAGCATCCAGTCTAGAACTTTCTGGAACCAGTGGTGAGGTTGGATGTAACCACCATCACTGGGGCACTCCACCATCCAACACAGCCCAGCTCAGGTCTTCCCTCCTCCAAGGACCTGCCCTGACCTCAGTCCCGATGCTCGCTCCCTCCTTGGCACATGCGAGCCCTTTAGCACTCCAAGGAGCCACAGAGCACCTCGGCTTCCTGGTTCCAGCCCACGCTGCCCAAGGACAGATGGTGTAGGCTCACACTGAAGAAGCACTCAACTGTGCTTAATGTGCTTGGAGACCAGGAAAGAACCACTCGTACTCAAGGGGTCAGAACAAACAGGAAAGTGGCCACTGAAGGAATCCAAGTTTTACAACGCATGCAGGCACACATACAGCCTCCCTTCCATGGCAGCAAGCCTGAGATTCAGAGATGGCAAGAGCAGTCAAGACCAGGTGCTCTTAAAACTAAGGGGCCTCGAGAAGCTGGCCTGGAGGAAGGGAAAGAGCTGAGGTCCCCATCAGGAAGAGCCAGGCTATGGAAGCCCAGAGGAAGTGAACAAAAAACCAAACAGCATCCAGAACTCCCCAGTCCAGAGTTTGTGCCCATTAGCATAGCTAGAGACCATGGAGCTTCAGAAAAGGATCACTTGGTTACCTGAGAAATTAATTGCTCTGGGGACCTGATTTTGGCAGCCATATGTCCTCATGGATGACCTTGCCATTTGCATGCGCCTGCCTGAGTAATTGGTCCTTACTGATCCAAGTGACCTTCAGCAAGTCACTCCAGCAGGCTTGGGCTAGCTGAAGGGAATATCTCTGGAGCCTTGATTACATCCAGTAAGACATTCAAAATAATTCTGGTGGCAGCTGCAGCCCCATCAAGGGATTGTATCTTCTTGGACTCCTTGCAAAACATTGTTTGGCTCCTGAGATGTGGCAGAACCACCCTGGAGAGTGGCTGCAGTTACAGAACAAACTTGGTCTCTCCACCAAAAACAAGCACACAGGGTAGAAAGGACAAGAACACTGCTAGGCAGACAGAAAGTAGAGGTTGTGACTTGGGACCATCACCAAACCCCCGGAGCACAGGGCCGTTGCATTGTACCTATGACCATGACCGCTTTCAGCACCAAAACTGCCCCGAGCCCTTCCCCAGGCATGCTTGTTGTGCAGCTCTTTCCCAGGACGGTTGATGTGGGGTCCCACTTATGTCCTACACAGCTCCTCCTGCTCAGGATTACAACACCCCCAAGTCTCTATGACGTACCAGTTCACACTTGTAAAATTCATATTATATCTATGCTGCTCCAGGCACAAAACATTTCTGAAATGCTTGCCTCTGGGGAGGGAGATGGGGGCTTCTAGCATGGGAGGGAGGCCTTTTCCTGGTATAATCTATTGCAGTATTCAGTCGAGATAGTTTTTCGATGTGCATACATCAACTGTCCTGTGATGTAACATTATTCAGATGCTATACCCAAAAGGAAAAGCAGCTTGCTTTGTCTAAATATTTCTACTATATGTGTGGTAGGTTTTGGTACCCAAAACAGGAAGATTATAAGATTCAGATCTTGGGGTCCTTCCCTTGTGCTCCTTCAGTAAGATAGCTTTTCAGAAACTTCCATTCCTTACTCCATGATTTAGTCATCTGTACAAGTTTGGACAAATGTGGTGGAAATAAAAAAGAGTTTGCCACTTTATAGAGTTATGTGAGGACCAGATGAGAAAATCCAAGAATGCATTTAGCACACAGCAATGCTCCATGAAAACTAATTTCCTCAATTACATGGAGCTTTTTCTTTTGTTTCTTCTGTTTCTTTTGTTGATGCAGAACCTCTTCATGGTTATGAAAGCAGGGAAATTCCCTGACACTGGAAAGGCTGGAAACAGTTGGCTTCCAGAGCTAGAAATGGTGACTCATTGGTATCTAGAAAACAGAGCTTTCCAGAATAATTCCCACTAACACTGGATAAAATCTATGCCTAAGAAAGAGCATGGGGGTGGGGGCAAGTCAACTGCCTTTCCCAGAAACCTCTTTCCTTTGCTGCCGAGGAACACGGGGCCAGGAAGGTGCCATTGGTCTTTAGCTGTGTGCAGTGCAAGCAGGGAGCTGCAAGGAATATGAACATGAGGAATGTGGGACAAAAGTCGACTGTACCTCCTTAATGAGAAAAAAAATGCTCATGAAATTCAAAAGTATGAGAAACAAACTATGTAAGTTGCTAAATGCATCCCAAAGAACCTCTCTAGGCTCTCATCTTTAGGGCAAAGAAAAGCTAGCTGTTCTAGAAACAGTTTCCCCATCTGGTGGGAATAAAATTACAGTCTGCGATCATGATGTTTCTCAGTCTCTCCTGTTATCTCTGATAAGGAACTTTTATTTTCCCTAAATTAAGCCATTCTTGACATTGTACCTGCATGTAAGTTTCCAATGCTGTTATCTCAGTGCTTTCCAAGCTCTTACCATTTCATACCGGGTAGCTCTAGAGAGGTACTTTCTACTGGTCTCTTGTTTGGGGTAAAAAGGAAAAGAGAAATGAGGGGAAAGGTCTGATTCTTTTCTCTTGAATTTCTGCCAAGGTTCATTGCCACACAGATCACTGCCCCAAGCCCCACAACTTGTGCACCCCACACCCAAACACATTCCAGTCACCAAAAGTTGAGTGAGAAATAGCAGGAAACCAGCAAGTTTAAGGAGAGACAGACACCTACAGAGACAGCACAGGGACAGCAAGACCGAGATGGGGAAGAGGGACCCAGTTCAGTTTCCAAAACCAGCTACAATGAATATTTGTGCTTCCTGAACAGCTATGTACTAAGGCTAACGTTCCTTTCAGGTGAACTCAGAGCACAGAAGGGAAGTGGGCAGCCCGCTCTCCCTGCGCACACCTCGCCCGACCTCCCTCTCCCGAAGGACCCCAGCACCCACCTCCTTTTCTCTGCGGGCAGCATCCAGGGAGACGGAGGCATGGCCCCTGTGCTCACCCTGGCCGCACTTCTGACAGATGCACTGCCCATCGGTGCGGCAGAAGGCGGCCAGGGGGCTACGGTGGGCAGGGCAGCTGCGCAGGTCCCGGTCCTTCACCGGCTCGCCCAACTGGTGGCTATGCAGCTTGCTGTTCTCCTGGTGCGGCCGCAGGTGCTCCTCGCAGTAATTCACCATGCAGGTCAGGCAGGACTTCACTGCCCTCACCCTGCTGGCCCCGAGGCAGAAGTCACATAGGACCTCCATGTCGTCCTCGCCGCCAGGAGCCTCCCGCAATGCACAGCCGCGGCCCTGTGCCTGTGTCTCACCCTGGGGACTCCCCAGGGAGCCCATGTCCCCTCCTTCTTCTGACCCGGAGTCTGGGCTGAGAGCGGCCAGAGGGTGAGCAGTGGTCCCGGGCAGTGGCCCTGGGGCCATCAGGTCCAGCTCACCCATCTGGAAGGCTCTTACGCCTAAGCTGTCCTTCCTCTGCCCCTTGGCCCAGGGTCTGTGCAGCCCGAGTCAGACAAGAGCACCACGCCTAGATGGCTGCGGCTGCCACAGGAGTTGAACTGTTTCCTCCCTCCCAGAGGCGGTTCAGTCCCAGGGCCCAGGCCTGGCCGGCAGCCAGCTGCGCTGAGGACAGGCAGCGACAGGCGGCCGGCCCCAGGCTCGCAGGCAGCCAGGCCCAGGACCCGGGCGGGATCAGCCCCTCCTCCGGCCCAGCCCCCTACCTTCTATTCCTACGGGACTCATTCCTCCCCAACAGGCTCAACCCAAGACCGTAGTGTCCGTGGCTGCTCCGGAAGGGGCTGGAGATTCCTGAGCTCTGCTGTAACCAGCCAGCACTGCTTTATGTGGTTTGACAGGCTAAATATTTTGTTTTCAATTTTTCAAGAGATCCAAAATGTAAGGAGTTCAGCGATAGGGTAGCCCTTCATCCCTTCCCACCTCATAGGACTGGAAATACCCAGGAGTCATGTTTCTGACTTGGACCTTTTCCATACCACCTTCCTGCCCTTTCTGGCAGACAGGCTCCAGGCGGGCCTCCAGTGTGGGTGAGGAAGGTCCAGGGAGAACCGTCCTTCCAGGCAGAGCCCCATTCAGACAGCTTCTGGGGCTGCACATCGGCCTTTGGGGCCCCTGGAGAGGGCCTGTGCCCAGAGCAGCCTCTTTGCCCAGACAGTGAGGTGTTCAGACACGGTGTAGGACTTCTCTCAGGCTGCCAGCACAAAGCACCACAGACTGATCAATTTAAACAACAAATGTATTTCTTCACATCTCTGGGGGTTAGAAGTCCCAGATCAAGGTGTCAGCAGGATGGTCTCTTCTGCAGCCTCTCTCATTAGCTTGCAAACGTGGTCTTCAGCCTGTGTCCTCACGTGCTCTGCCCTCTGTGTGTGTCTGTGTCCTACTCTTCTCCTCCTAGGAGAACTTCGGTCATATGGGAGACCAGGCCCACCCTTATGACCTTATCTTAATTACCACTTTAAAGACCCCGTCTCCAAATACAGCCACATTCGGAGGGACTGAGGGTTAGGACTGCAACATATGAATTTGTGAGGGGAGGACACAGTTCAGCCCATAACACATGGCCAAGGGATGCAACAGGAAAACGCCTAGCTCCTTGATGAAAGGGGCTCCCAGGGGCGAAGAGTTCTCAGCCTGTGCCAAGGGAGCACCGGAGCACCCGGGATTATTCCAGGATAACTGGACCCCGACTTCGGCATCCTGGAGAGGTTCTGCAGCACTCCCCAGGATGTCTTCACAGACACTCAAATGGACTTGGAAAGCTACCGGAGCAGAGAGAGATGGGGAGGGACGGCGGCCAAGCCGGCCCCTGGGGTGCAGTGGGGCGCACCAAGGCGTTGTGGTTCCCAGCCACCCAGGGGCTCTCTGCCCCTGGGGTGAGGTCTGCAGGATCTGCATACAACCAGGTAAACCAAGCGGCATTTCTTGTCACTAACCAGAACATTTTGGAAATCCAAGAAAGCCAGAGGCTGCTCAGTGTTGGAGGACATGGGAAATCAAACATCTCTCTCGGATTGCAGCTCTCTTTCTATTTCCAACATGGGCAGAACATGCACATCACGATGGCCTAAAAGCAGCCCTTTTTAGCAACATGAAGTTTCCTAAGTAGCCTGTCTCGCCTACCCTCTTCCACTGCTGAAGACCCCCCAGAAGAGGATTTCTTGCATTTAATTTCGTGGTTCTTATATCTTCGGCTGAAAAGAAAGCTGGCTTCAACTGGCCCAGACTGTTTTCAGGCTTTCTCCAATCTTACCAGACAGGGTTGTCTTCCTTTCCATCCCTTTTCGGAATGACCGGGTGCTGGAAGCTGAACTGGTCCGCCCACACGCCCGGAGCCTTGATCTCTCTGAGGGGAGGGAACGCAGTTGCCCTGCCCGACCAGTCCCACGGCCTCCAGGGCCGATCAGTGGCACTGAGCTTTCCCCAGAGCCTCCTTCTCATCTCATTCCCTCCCTTTTCTTGTTTCTTGAACTGTTTCCCTGTCTGCCCCTTCTCTGCTGCCAATCCTGCAGGGCGGCTTGTGTAAGTGCCCAGCCCTTCCACGGGGCCCCGTCAGAGCCCTGGGCTTGCAGACGGTCCACAGCCGCATGGAAACTAGAGCATCTGAACTCGGGCCCCAGCCCAGCCTGGGAAAGCCGTTTGTCCTTTCGTAGCCTCAGCTGCCCCCCACTAACGTGAGGATGTCGCCCATGGCAGGGCTCTGCTAAACGCACTCCCGGGCTGACTCTGGGGACTCATGCTGTCTCTGCCATCATGTCTGAGTTTACTGGGACAAGACTCCAGAGCGGAGTCATATCTGATGTGGGCCCGGGACAGGAGAGGGGTGGCCCTCTGGAGCCCCACCTCTAGCTCTCTGGGGACCACAGAATTCGCCACAGCCTCTAAATCCCCCCCACCGCCACACCTTGAGGCAGAGCCTTCCACGCACACACTGCTCACCTGAGCTCGACCCTGCTTCCGGGACTGGAACGCCTGTCATCACAACCCTGGCTCAGCACCTCAGCACCAGAAGATTGGGGCTGACATCAGGCATAGCTCTAAAAGTCAAACTCCCTATTGTGCCACGCATTCTAACCCACCACCACCCCTTCCCCACAGTGCCCTGGGGGGACCCCCAACAGCCCCACCTGCCGTCACTGCAACGTGGCTTCCCCCCAAGACAGTCTCTGCTGCCCCCTCCCAGCTGCCGCTGCTCCCTCCCTCCCCCGCGTATCTGAGCCCAGGCAGGCAGGGAGTCCTCCTCACCTGCACAAGGTCCAGACTGCCGCCCTTGCCTTTTTGCCAGCCCCGCTCCCCTGATGCCTGCACAGCCCCACAACACCACCCTCTCCTCTCTGCCCGCCCCACTTCCTCCAGGCCCCCACATTCCTCCAGGCTGGAGTTCCTGGCCAGAGTACCCCCCCACACAACCTGCCCTCCCCTCCAGACACCCTGGCTTCACCCAGGCTGAAGCTCCTGGACTACAGCCCCCACGATCTGCCCCCCCTTTCAGAATCTGCACCTCGGAATGCTTCCTTCACCCCCTCATATTGCTGAGGACCTTTTCCTCAACCACACACCCTATGGTCACACATGGATTTATTTTTAATGTGAACTACCCATAACACAAAAGGTACCATATTAAACCCTTTCAGCACATGGGTCCGGGGCAGTAAGCACATTCACACTGTTGTGCAGCCCCCACCTCCACCCACGCAGAACCCTTTGCATCTTCCCCAGTAAACACTACCTCCCCATCCCCCTCTCCAGCCCAGGCCAACCACCATCTGTCTTCTGATGAACAGGTTCCTCGTGTGAGTGGAGTCATAGAGTGTGTGTCTTTTTGTGTCTGGCTAATTTCATTCAGTGTAACATCCTCAAGGTCCATCCATGCTGTGGCAGGTGTCCAAGTCCTACCCTCACACATGGATTTTGCATTCACCAGAAATCACTGTCTCCAGAATCATGAACTGATAATCTACTCTCTGACTATCCCCCAGCTCACTTGCTTAAGTGCCTCAGGCCCATCAGGCCCCGAAGGCCCCGCTCCCACCTGTTCCTCCTTGTCATCTCCCCTGCCTCAGCTGCTTGTAGGTCCCATGGTCCAGCACAAGCATCGTTCTCTGGCATCTCTCTTGCCCTTGCTACCCTCCATCACACTCCCCTGGCTAGCCCAGGACCCTAAATGGCCCCTACTGCACTCCTCCCTTGAGCTTGCACCTAAAAGCAAAGATTACTGGGGCACAGTCACTAATCACACAGAGGAGCCCCCATAAGTTCAAGATTACCCTCCAGTGGACCCCCGACATTGCACAGCCATCATGCTCTCTTCCCTCCCCAAGGCCTGGGTTCCTCACTTCTCAACCCTCTTGCTTCTTCCCGCCTCCACTTTGAGCAGAGTGTCTTGACACATGCTGTCCTTGGAAAAGACACCACTAATTAGGAACTGCCTATTGCCCCAGACCAGATCTGCCAAGATGCCAGCATCTGTAGCCTCTCCTCCACTCCCTGTTGCAATGCAAGCAGGGTTCCTATGCCTGTGAACATCCAGTCCCTCCCTCTGCCTTCCCAAGTTACTTTGGGAGAGTCTGGCTTGACCACCTTGGCAGCAAGAAGTGACACCAAAGGTCTGGCTGCCCTTCTCCTCCCACTCCCAACTCTGGTCAGTTCAGCTGTGACCTCCAAGTTCTGTGGGGCATTCTGTAGCCTGCCAGCTGGTATCCACAGCAGTGAATTATTATATGCAAACAATTCACTGAGATCAGTTCAGGCAAAGGAATGATCCTGTCTGAGAGAAGACTTAGATGATGGTGTTAATCCTACATCACTGACTTTGTGCTAACCAACCCCAAACACTCAGCCTTGTGTAACATAAAGTGTCTCTTTTTCCACAAGACAAATGTAATTTCATCCTGGTATCCTTTCTTGAGTCAAAACCACCACCAGGAATGTTAGGACCAAGTTGTGGGTTGGTATTCCTTTCCAGAACTGAGGGAGGCTTCCCTACCCGGAGTTCTGAGGATCCAAATTCTAACAAGCTTTGAGGTAGGTAATTGGTAGGTAGTGTTAGAAAGAGAGATGGAGCCTGGGATGCAAATGGCCCCATGCACAAACCAAGGCTTAATATCTAACCTGATGGCAGTTTCACACACACATATGCACACACGCGCACATACCACCTCCAGGAATATGTTAAAAAGAAAGACAAGCCCAATATGGTGTCCCTTATGCTGGGCCAAGTCACCAAAACTGGGCTTAATACCTAACCTAGGTGTAGCTTCAACCTGTCCCAGTTGGTCAAGAATTCTCTGGTAATATCCCATATGCCCTTTCCATCCCATCCCCAAAGGCAGATGAGGTCATCTGCCCAGTGAGACCCCTGTCCTTGGCTCCTCATTCCTAGCACTGGAATGTCTATTACATGATCTTTCAGGAAAATTACTGGGTGTATCCCTGCCACACCGCTTGATGCATTGATAAATGTGACCTGTCTACACAGGTCCCCTGCTGTAGAGAAAGTGTTTGGGATGTGTCTGGAGCAGTTTATCAGAGCACTAATGGGCTGCCCTTGCAGCCATGGTCCTCAGTAAGACTATGAATAAACTCTATTTTTCTTAAAAATAACAGTCGTGTTGATTTCAGTTGACAAACACAAACTTTAATCAGTCAACATGGAATTTCTTGGTCAGCACTAGGAAATTTTCTGATAGACCGCTTCTGTTCCCCTTAGGAGGGCGACCTTACCTAAAACAATGGATTCTGTCAATAATTTCCTTTCTTCAGCGCCCTCTCTACTTCTAAAAACCTTTTTTTTTCCTGCAGTTC